CTATCACAAATATTTTCAGTATTGAAACTACATTTCTCAACACTATTTGAAAGTAGGCTCTAATTTGATTGTTTGGAGCCTAGGCTCTATACAAACCACACCCTTAAATAAAATATGATCATTAAAGAATGAGATTCGATGCAATTTTATGAAATTTGGTAAAGCAACATCTTGTTTTCCTTCTAATCTATGTGGATGACATCATTGTTACTGGAAATGCTATTAAAGGCGTCGAACTTATTAAGAAAGAACTGAACCTAGACTTTGAAATAAAGGATCTTGGAGAATTCAAATCTTTTTTGGGAATTGAAATTCATCGGAATGTAAAGGGCATTGTTCTCACCCAATACAAGTATATTCTTGAGTTACTCTCTAAAACAAGGATGACCCAAAAGAACAAAATAAATCCAGTGCTACAAAAGATTTGGTGATGGCTGGAAATCCATTTCCATTAGTGGAACTGTAAGTACCAAAATTTGTGTCCATAAGTGGATGTTTCAAAAAAAAGTGTTGCAAGATGTACCATATTTGACATAAAAACCTTATTTCTTTCTATCAATGATTATCGAAGTAGAAATGATCCCTTTCAAGCCCATGACCGTCAAGTTAAAGATGATCAATTGCAAGATTTTCGATACCAAAACTACATTTTCCAAAGATATTAATTACAAAATACTTTTTCATTATTAAATGTTAAAACAACTCTTTTTTGTATTCCTTTTCCCATAATGTGGTTCATGCAATAATTCCTTTTTACATATTATTTAATCCATCAAATACTTATCTTGGAACCAAAGACTCATTCGAACTTTTTGCCTTTTCTTTGCATTATCAGTTTGTGGTTGATGGAATGGATTCTTTCTCTAGATCCATCCGTCTAATGTTTTTCATTCTCTAATGTCAATGTCTAATTAATATGAATAATTGTTGATGACTGTGTTTTAACAAAAGCAAGAAATGGGACCTGTACTAGTAATTGAGTTTCAAGAGTATATACTCGTGTGGAAGCACACTATATATATATACTCCCTCTGACAAAATTTCTACTTAGGTGGATTTTCTTGAACTAAGATTTTGAGGTCCACTTAAGAATCACTAGTTGAGTACTTCTAAAAAAGAGAAATAAATTTTGAGTTTTTAAACACTTAGATAAGATCAACCAATAACTATATATTCCCTGTTTAATCATATGACTAGACATATTCTTTTAAGGCACATGTAGTGTGCCATTGATATTACCTTTTTTTTTTTTGGGAGTTAGTCACTAGGTTAAAGAACTTACATCCTAAAATTTTAGTGCCCTAAAATAACTCCTAGATTGGTTTTTACCCGAGGGAGTGAATGTACAATATTCTCCAGTAAGAGCATATCATCTTTTAAGAAAAAAAAATTGTTTGGGTAAATTCTTTTAGCATAATTGAATCACATAATCTCTCCCTCTTTCTCTCTCTCTCTTAAATCTCAATACAAGAACATTTTTTGTCCATGTAAATTATAGTTAATTAGTTATTGCCTTAGGGCGGCAATGGTGCTCCATTTATTCTAGTTTTGAGTGACAATGACTCCCAAAGATGGTTGAGAGAGCATAAACAAATACCCAAGTGCTCTCAAAATGTATTCTCCTTTACTCCAATACAAAGATGCCATATGCCTATTCAAATTCAAAGAACCTAAGCAACCCTCCCTAAAAATAATGACCACAAACAAAAAGGATCTATGTCAACAACCTTCTTGTTAATGTGAGGCTGACTTGAAACCATGTCACACACAGCCTATAGGGTACATACCCTAGGTGGTGGACCTCCACCTTGCCTCCTTCAGTACCAACACAAGTCAGCCCTTTTCCTACTCTGCACCCTTCTCCTTAACTTGTACTCTTAATAGTGTTATTACTAACCCAATAAAAAAGTAAAATTATTACTATAGGAAAACTATTTGGTGACTTGGCCAATTGGACTTGGTTCTTAAAGGACCACAAACTCACCCAAAATATAAATAATTGCAGATCTATTTTTACCTTAGATCCATGAATTTGGAGCTTCAAAAGTCATACAGATCAGATGTTTTTTTAAAAAATAAAGTACAAAATACACCATTTTTTTAAGGATTACATTATTCAGACCCATGATCTTGATGGTTTAGATGATACATCTGCAAAACTTTGGACTTAAAATCTTCTAGATGGATTTTGGAAAGGTAGACTTGCTATAACAAGTGGGTCCAAGATGAACCTAAACCCCACCTTTATATTTATTCTGTTTGGCATTATCTCCATTAAGACTTCTATTAGCTTTGTTGGTGTTCTTGCTGTTGTTTGTTAGTTTTAATCTCCTTAACTTTGAAAATTACTAAGGAATAAATGAGATACCAATTTTTTTTTTTTATGTTATTAGGGAAAGTTAGATGCCATGGTTCAAAAGCAAGCTTACCCAAATTTCCTATGGGAAAAACAAAAAAATACCCTAAAAATTTAAAAAAATTCAAAATGAAATTAGGGGGGAAAGCAATGAAGAAACAGAAAAGCAAAAGAAAAGAGGGAAATGGGGAGAATTCAACTTGCACAAAAAGAAAAAGAACATAATTTTCTCCTATAAATGACAAGGCCGACCCACTCATCCCTAAGGTGCCCACATGTCTCTCTCAAGGCTTGGCCCTATGCTCCAAAGTGTGAGGGCTCTATGGGAGGTCCTCTTGGTCACCCTTGTGGCATTTTCCCGAGCCCTTGGTGCGAAGCCCGCACCGAGGTCCGTGTCTGATAACTCGGGCTGCCTTAGTTGGAGAGTCGCAGTTGAGGCCAACAACGTTCGAGCCTTTCGAACAGTGCCAGACCAGTGTTTGGCTCATGTTGAGAGCTACATGTCGGAGGGGCAATACGAGCGGGACCTCGAGATGGTGGTCGAGCAAATCGTGTGGTACTCGTTGGGCATAGTGCTTGGATCGGATGGCCTCGATGCGTTTGTGCTGGATGTCGATGACACATGCATATCAAACAGGGCATACTATCGGCACAAGAGGTTCGGGTACGTAGTGGGGTGCGATTTGTGATGTTGTTCATTTCTTTTCTTTTTTCTTTTTTTCTTTTTTTCTCTTTTTTTGTGGTTTTGTAATGATTTTCTTGAAATTTTTGGTGCTTTGGTTTTGTTTCAATTTTTAAAATTGCAATTTTGTGGGGATTAAATTTCAAATAAAAGAAGGAAAAACCATGAAACATTCATGAGTCTCTTAATCACATCCTATATGCATTTTTGTACTGGTGAATTTGTTTGCTCAGTGTTGTCTGTGTTTTTTATTTACAATATTCATGAGTTTTGAGATGTTTTGTCTGTTAATGGGGCTGTGTAATCTCTCTCTCTCTCTCTCTCTCTATCTCTCTCTCTCTCTCTCTCTCACATGAAAACAATTTCCTATCTCCCTTTTAGGGGTGAGCCTTATGATCCTGTGAGTTTTAAGAAATGGGCTTTGAGGGGATGCTGCCCAGCTGTGCCTGCCATACTTGGACTCTACAAGCATTTGACCCACAGAGGTTTCAAGGTTTTCCTTCTCACAGGTAGAGACCAAGAATTACTAGACCAAGCCACAAGAGAGAATTTGAATAATCAAGGATTCATTGGTTATGAGAGACTAATTTTAAGGTACATCAATGCCTTCTTATTTTTTTCTTTTTCTTTTTCTTTTTTGTTACTTCTTTGTGAATGTTAGACACTCTGTTTTATGCTCACAAGCTGGAAGTAGGGGTAGCAATTGGGACCCGTGGACCCGAGACCCTACTGGTACGCCAGACCCCAGGTCCGGGTATAGGTCAAAGGGTTGGACCCTACGGGGTCGGGGCTAGGTCCAATAGCTACCCAATTCGGGTCTGGATCCGGGTAGTCCCTCATTGTAATTTTTGGAGTTATATATATATATATATAATGCTTTTTAGGTCCGGTACGAGTTCCCATATCAATTCAGGTCTGGGTCCAAGTCCAAGTCCAAGTCCAAGTCCGTGACTAGGGACTTTGGATCCAATTAGGTCCAGGTCCAGCTCCTATAGTATTTTTTGGGGACGGACCCAACCTGACCCGACCCATTGCCACCCCAAATTCTAAGAGTATATTTCTCCCTCTATCTTTGAGGCCTTTTCTTCCCTCAGTAGATGGGGTTTGTTGTAGAATACTTGTAGTGTTATTTTAATGGTATGGACTCTTCATGTGAGAGGCAGCATTGATATTATGCATTACAAAAGTTGATTTAGAAGTTGGCTTTGTGAAAAACTTTGATTTGTCTAGTTCTCTTACTGTCTCTCACATTTCTTCACTGTAAATTGGGTTGGGGCTATTAAATCGGGTCGATCCAGCGACCTGGCCAACTGCCGGTCACCCGCCTGGGAGTGAGTCTAAATCATCAAAAGCGGAGTCGGTAGGGTGGGTCTAGGTCCCAAAGATTTGGACCCGACCCTATCCATAGAGGCTTACTGACAAGGACCCGGTTGATAAAACCTAAAGCCATAGCAGTTCGAGAAAAAATCTTCTAAATTAGTCATATCAACCTTAACAATCTTGAATTTGAAAAGCATGAATCTCATAACCCTAAAACAATTTATCTTATTATATATTATTTAGACTGCCTATTTTTTAGTGTTCATAATTATTTTTGAAGCTTCAAATTTCATAATCAAGAGTAGAAATAGATTTTCATCGTAGATATTTCTAATACTAAAACTACACTTTCTGGCGAGATATTAAAATGGGACTTTACTTTTTGAAGTAAAGTCCAAACCACATTGTTGGGCAAACTATCACAAGATATTTTCATAATAAGAGAAGATCACATGTGCATCATTTTACCTTTTCCCACTAAAAATAACCTTTGTAGATCAATGGCCTGTTTCACTCCCAGTCACTCCTCACAAACTTGTTCCACTTTGCACTGTTGATATAATTATATTAGCATTTTGGGTACAAAGACGAAGACACCAACTTTCTGAAAATATGGCTAGTAAATATCATAATGTTTCCAAAAGAAAGATATTTGCTCAGTACCTCAACATTTTTCCCTATCTATTTTACTTCCATTTTCTAAAAGAAAATAAAAAATATTGTGGTCTAATGTGAATACACCTTTAGAGAACAAAGCAAGGAATTTTTAAAAGAATATATATCATAAAAGAATCAAAGAACATTGTAAAAAAATAGAATTAAAATTAATGGAATTATATTCTTCTTTTACTTCTGGCCTTTCCTGTTTTATGCAATTCCCTTGTTTTTTCAGTTATATCATTTAACTCTTCGGCAAGCTTTCTATGCTGCATCCAATGTATAAAACTTATATATTTCCCCCTAACCAACCGTCCATTTTGAATAAACGGCTGAGATGGCCTCAATCACAATGTCATGTCTCTATGATATTTAATTTTAGGAAAAATATCATATTATCCCCTATTTTTAATTTCTATATCTCATCAGACTCAAGAATTGAAAATATTACTTTTAAACAAAAATACTACATCTTTTCTATCTTCCAACCCCCTAAAACTTTTTGACAATGTATTATTGACATTAACAACTTATGAAATGACTCCATCTCTCTCTCTAAAACTCTATCTCTCTCACATCATCTCTCTCCCTTTGAAAACTCTCTCTCTCTCTAAAACCCAAACTCCATCTCTCTCTCTCTCAAAACTCCATTTCTCTCCCTAAAATTCAAATTCCATCTCTTCGACCCAAACTCCACCTCTCTCTAAAACTCCATCTCTCTCCCATACATAAAAAGGTGTGCTTGTGTTCTAACTCAAGCTAAACCCCTTGGCTGGTAAACTCACCGAGAAGCAAAAAGAGAAAGATGAAATTTTAGAGAGAGAGATGGAGTTTGAATAGGATATCATTTTAGTGTTTGTTTGGATCATAAGTTTATGATCAAAAGAGTCCAAGAGATTGTAAGATAAAAAGATAGAGATATTTTGTTTACAAGTAATATTTTCAATTCTTGAGTCTCATGAAATATAGAAGTTAAAAATAGGAGATAAAAAGATATTTTCCCTTAATTTTAATATTTTGTTTACAAAACATTTTGACACCAATTTTTAGGCACCCGCTCCTCTTTTAAACTAGCACATGTAAAAATATTAAAAACATATTCTCAATAAAATAAAATAACTAAAATATCCCTAAAAGTTTCAAAGGCATTTTGATCATTTTAATTTACTATAAATATTTGTATTAAGTGCGCCCCGTTGTAATGATAAGATGTACCAAATTTCATATTCATATAATTTATTAAAAAAAATTAAAAATAAAATACTCTGAAGCATCGAATCTAAATCAAGTGGTCAGTGACTCACTTGATTGAAATTGAACGGCGATATGAAGGGAATATACATATGAAGAAGTATAGAAACATTTCCCTTTACTTTTTACCTAAAGTTATCTTAAAATTATTTAACTAAATTCCCCAATAATGTGTTCTCCAAAGGGGAGCCACCCATCCAAGTTAACCATTGCTTTTGTGGGTTCCAAGATATACACCATTGTATTTCCCATTTTCTTTTAAGGGCAAGCTTTCTATGTTTCCCCTACAACATAAAACTTATATATTTCCCCTTATCCAATCGTCCATTCTGAATAGAGGACTAAAATTACCCCAATCACAATGTCTTGTCTCTGCACTATTTTATTTTTAATTTTTTTTCAATAAACTATTTTGACACCAAATTGTATACGTCTAATCCTCTATTAAACTCAATTCTCTATTAAACTCGCACTATCTAAAAATATGTAATAATAAAAAATATTTCCAATAAAATAAAATGACCAAGATACCTCTAAAAGTTTCAAAGGGTATTTTGGTCATTATATTTTATCAAAAAAATATTTTTAATATTTTTTATAAGTACACCCCAATGAGAAGATGACACGTTCCAAATTTCATATTCATACAATTGTTATAAAAAAAAAAAACTAAAAATAAAATACTTTGAAATGTCATATCTAATATCAAATAGCGAGTATGGCTCTCTTGATCAAAATTGGATGGCTGGATGGTAAGGGAAGCATTAATCTTTTATGTTATAAAGGAAGTATAGAAACCTTTCCCTTCATTTAATGTCCAAATTCACATTAAGAAAGAAAAAAATTGTCAAAAAAAAAAAAAAGATGATAGGATGGGAACCCACTATGCTTTTCTCTTTCTTTCTGGTTTTTAGGTCAGATGGTTCAGATTTATTACTTTCCTATAAACCATTGTAAGTAAAAATGGATTGCCGTCCTGGATTGATCACCGGGCCGAGTTGGATCAACAAATGCTGGTTTTTTTAATGAATTTATTGAGAACACCAAGATATCAATCTCACGATTTCTTCAAATCAAGGTTTAGATTCACAACTTTTTGTTTTGGATCTTTTACAGAGCAAAAAATGATCAAAATGAACACGTTTTTATAGAAAATATATACAAATCAAGAGAAATTAGGGTAAAAACCTGAAATTGGACTAGCACATAAAATAGCTGATAAAGCCCAAATATCTGCCTCAAGTTCAGCATTCTTTGTTTAGATATTAACAATTTTCACAACCAATAGAGAATTGAAAAATGAACAAAGCCTATAATTTCACACAATACGGATGAGAACCGATAGATACAAGAATGGGGGATTGAGCATCAAATAGGGGAAAACCCTAAATTTGTGGGTCAAATTCTTCGATTTGGAGTATTGATCAAAATTTCTTCGACAAAGATCTAATAGAGAATTTTAAAACGAGTAAAATGCCTCTAATATCATAGAAAAATGGATAAAAAAAGAAGAGTATGGGAAATAGGAGATCAGGCATAAAAATGGGGGAGAAAAGTGCCAATCTTTGTACGTCTAATTTATTCGATTTTGAGTTTTTATCCTCAATAATTTACACAAATCTGAGACGAGATTCAAAATCGAACAAAAACCCCTCAATTTGAGCAAAACTAGATGATAAATGAAGGAAAACAAAGCAAAAAAAAAAAAATCATGGTGGTTTTTGTAGAAAAAAAAAATTGGGCCATTTCCTCGCAAGAGAATCAGAATCAGAATCAGAATCGGCCTTGTTAGTACCCATTTTTTATCCAAATCGGGCAATTTGAATCCATTACGGTGGTCGTCTAAATCCCTACCACAAACTTTGTTTAGTTCATCATTATACTAGTGGCCTAAGCTTTCATGATTCTTATTCATGCTCAATGCTCTGTTCATGACTCTTCCTAGCGCCTTTGTGCTCTGATTTTGTTCATGATTCTTATTAGCGCCCTATTATTTGATGTTGTTCATGAGTCTCATCAGTAATCTATCCTTTGTTTTGTTGGTGATTCGCATCGGTGATTTAAAAATCTCCGACCCAACATAGAATCGTTCTAGTTGAATCAGGATTGAGAGGTGGGATGATTTCAATTTGAGGAACCCAATCGCCTCAATTCTCCCTTTTTTGCCATTTTTAATTTCTTTGTTAATTATAGCCCAATCCAGCTTAGGAATCACCTGAATTAGACAAGGAGAATCGGAATCAAACTCCAGGCAATTCAATGCCAAGCAAATCAAACTCCAGGAAATTCAATGCTTGATTCCTATATTTCTTTCATCGCTTACTCTTATTAGTGCACCATGATTTGTATTGTTCACAAACTCTCTTATGCTTCTATTGTTCAACAGAGGGCCAGAGTACAGAGGGCAGAGTGCAGTAGCTTTCAAATCAGCAATTAGAAAGAGACTGGCGGAGGAAGGTTATAGGATTTGGGGCAATATTGGCGATCAATGGAGTGACCTATTGGGTGATAACCATGGTGATCGCACATTTAAGCTTCCTAATCCAATGTATTTTGTTCCTTAATCAATTGGTTAACCCCAAAATATGGAGAACCCATGCTTGTGGTTTTGTCACCAATTACCACAAAACTCTAGCCCCAATTTATAACTCCCTTTTCATTATCACTACGATTTAGTTTTTACTTTCATTGCCACAAATGATGTATATGTAACTTACAAAATTTGAGTCCATTTACATTAGACTCAGCGAGGCATCAAAAGTTGCAACACTCATCAAAGAGGACTTGAGTAACAAGTTAATAACTAATACATAGGGGTAGCAATGGACCCAGACCCGGACCCACACTGGGACCCGACCCTGGTCTAGGAATGGGTCCAAAACTTGGACCCAACGGGTCAAGCTGGGTCCAAATATTGGACCCATAAATTTTTTTGGGGTCGGGGTCCGGGTCCGGTCAGACCCGACCCATTGCCACTCCTACTAGTACATCAAGCTCTTGTAAGAATGCACCAAAAGAACACCTAAATGGGAATGGGAAGTTCAGCCATATACCTTGTTGAATACCATCCTAAGGTACCAGGATCATCCCTCTTTACCAGCAGTCAATGAGTCGCATTTGAATACGTCTTCTTTGGAAATAACATACTAGCGAGTTAGGAATCGAGCTTTGGCTTGAGCGGTTAGCACTTGTCACAAGTAGGATGGGTTCTGGTGCATTAGTGGACCTCACTTTACTCAAGTGAGTTCTCCTTCTAAAACTAATCCTAGAGATGGATTTCTCATTTGAACTTCTATAGGACAATAATCTCGACCACCACAATCATGAATTTAAAAAAAAATTTAATTTTAAATTTTAAAAAATAAATGATTTAAATTTTACTTTGATACCATTTTTGGACAATTCATTTTCTTTCCTTCATCTAAATAACCTATTTTAAAAGTTTAAATTCTATTTTCTTTCCAAATTCAAGACTATTGCAATCGAAATTATTGACTTACGAAATTCCTACTCCAAAATCCATCTCTAAATTGGATATTTGAAAGGGGATGAATTTACAAAACACTATTTTTTTCTTCTTTAAAATTTAAGGTTAGATTTCAATTAAGTCCTAATGCCTCCCCAAATGTATGGGGAGATTCCATGTTTAAACAGGTGAGAGAGAGAGATCACCAAAAGAAAAAACATGCATGGCAATGGCATAGAGTATCCTCCATCCATTCTCAACAACAAAGAGGAAATTACACACAGCCATTGTAGAGGCATATTTTGGTATGTGAATCTAAAAGCCCCTAAGTGACAAACATAGCCCCCAACTGACACACATACAGAACTTCAAATTTGTTGTGCATAATTACATAAGGGAAACATTTACCTGTAACACCACCTACATATAAGACATGTAACATGTAAATGCTATACCAAGTACTTCGTTCTGAATAGCATCAATCATGTCACAATTAAGTCTCTGGGTGGCTCATGTTTATTGGATGGCTCACTCCGAGTATTTTTTGTTCAATTTTTATTTTACAAATCATTTTAACATGAAATTTAGGGCATGCCCAGTTCTCAAGGATACCCCAATGAATAAGAAAATTATTTTTGGTAATAAAATAGTCAAAATGTCGTAGCCATTTTGGTCATTTTATTTTATCAAAAATATTCTTTTTATTTATCAAGTGCCCACATCCAAATTTCATGTCAAGATAATTTAAATAAAAAATTAAAAATAAAACACATGACATCATGATCAAAATATCTCAACCATCCATCGAAGTGGATGGCAATTAGCAGTCACTATCCCAACCATCCTAATCGTCTAAAATCACATGTTTTATAGGTAGGTGGAGCCACATATAAAGGTATAAAGGTTTCACATTAAAAGAAGATATATACCTCTCCGAAAAGCAAATTGAGAAAGTATTCCATACCGGGCGGGGTCTAATGCCCATTCTCATATGCCCACTCTCATATGCCCACGGTGAGAACAAGAGGTGCAGACAGTTCGGGTCCATGTCAGCTTAGTGTTTAGGCCAAACCCTGCCCGGACCGGCTGCTTCAAGCGCCATGATATCAATCTGAACCCTAGCCTGGTCGAGTAAACCTGCAGCCCTATTGAGAAAGGTCAATGAATCCAACCTAAATGTACTATGTTCTATACACAAGAAGTGTATGGTAATCTTCACATTAACAATAATCCTCCATCCCCCTGTAAACTCTCTCATTAACAAAACACTTCTAAAGTTAACTCCAAGCAGATGCAAAAGCTCTACAAGAAGCCTGACAAACCTCATTCACCTTTTGATTTATGCGTCAACTTGTCTCCAAAACCGATTAATGAATTAGGACTTAGAGAAAATCAGATGATGCATGAAAAACAGCAAGAGAAAAAATTGGAATTCGGGTTATGAGGACTAGGCTTTAAAAAATGGTTTAGGTTTCGAAAAATAGGACTAGGAAAATGAAACAGTGATGGTAGCAGCATGACCTTGCAAAGCTAGGGTTTTGGCGTATGGAAAAGTTGGGTTTTCCAGGATTAAACCCATGGTGTCCTATAAAGGTCAAGGCCACAGAAACCATGAAACGATGGCCAATGCCCTTTACAGAATGAAAAATGGCAAAGTTGCAAAGAACCTTGGGTTAAGATTAGGGCTCAAGGCACATGAGGTTTCTCATTAATCTTTAAGCAAGTAGCAAGCTTTTGAATATTTAAGGTTCGGGTTTTCTCATAGATCATGAAGCAAGTGGCAAGATTTTAAGGTAGAACATGACCTCCAAAAGCTAGGGTTTTGGCTTTTGGAAAATCAGGCTTTTGCAAGATTAATCCATGGTATTCTCTAAGAGTCAAAATCACAGTTACCATGAGATAATGGCCTCTGCGGAGTGGACAATGAGAAAGTTTTAAGAACCTAGATTTAAGATTATGGCTCAAGGTATATGGCTTTCTCACAGATCTTGAAGCAAGTGGAAAGCTTTAAAGGGTTTTCTCATAGATCATGAAGCAAGTGGTACCAATATCACCTCAAAAAGCTAGGGTTTTGGCTTTTGGAAACTTAGGGGTTTGCAGGATTAATCCTGACCCTTTAAAGGTCAGGAGTCATAGTTTATACGAGATGATGGCCTCTATGGAGCGGAAATGAAAAAGTTCAAAGAACCTAGGGTTGAGATTATGGCTCAAGTATATGGCTTTATCACAGATCTTGAAGCAAGTGGCAAGCTTTGAATACTTAGTGGTCGGGTTTTTCTCACAGATATGTAACACGTGGCACGCTTTTTAATACTTTGGGTTGGGTTTTTCGTAGATATTGAAGCAAGTGTCAAACTTTTAAATACTAAGGGTTAGGGTTTGGAACGAGGTCGAAACTTTTAATTTTTATTTTAGGGTTTAAGGTCGGAGAAAGCGCTAGTTTCGTAATATTACACATTTAAAAGGAAAAAGACCATCATACATGTAACAAATATACTACAGATGATAAATGTAGTACATTATTTGTAAGCTACTTGTATCATAGAAAACAATCCCATTATTTTAAAATTCCCCCCAAAATTTACATGCCCCCTGAACTGTAACAAAAAATGCAATCATACCTTTTTTCTTTTTCTGTTTTTAAGTTGAGACCAAAATGCTCCCACTTCGAACCTTCAATGTCCAACCTCTAAACTCTAGATCAAAGCCTCGATAAATGTTTCCCATCCACTAACTTGAACCTTCAAGGTTTGAATTTGTCCCCAAATAAAAATTTTGGACCTTGAAAATCCAAAGTTAACCTAAAGTTGAAATGCAATCTCCAAACAATCTTCAGATCTTAAAAGTCCAAAATTTTCCCTAAGATTCAACCACAAACTTTTGAATTTTATATTTCATTAATTTGTTTTTTTTGAGAGCCTGGGATATATTTTTTAGACAACTTTGAACCCTCAAGATCTAATATTTGATGTCAAAACAAATTTGGACCATGAAGATCGGAGCTAAGTGCATGAGAAAAACTTAGCCAAGCATAATTTAAGCTTCAAACTTTTCAAAGTAGGTGTAACTCGGTCAGAAAATAATAACAATAAATCAATATGAACATATTAAAAAAAAAAAAAAAGGGACCGAGTATGTTCTACAAATTTGGAGACACCCAAATTTGGCTATAGTTCCCTCCTACCTAGGAGGGTTTTCTCTAATTTAGGCTGCTAACTCGACCAGAAAAGAACTAGCTTCATTTTGGCACGTTACCTAGGAATTGGGAAAATTTTGAAGAAAGTTGAAAATTAAAATTCACTCAAAATATTACACACCTGGCCAATTAGACTCCACTAAACCAGCAACTCCAATGAAATTTAAGCTAAAAAAGTTTATTGTGACCAAGTTTCAGATGATACCCAAAAAAAGTTTTTTGTTTGATGAGATTTCCATCAAAGCTCAGCCTGGCCTTGGGTTTGGGCTGGGTTTAGCCCACACTTTTAGGGCCTATAGGTCAGAGTCGGGTCAGTGATGGGCCGGCCAAAACATATAACCAAAAGCCCAGCCCTGGCCTGATTCAATTTTCAGGCCAGGCACATGGTACGTCCGGCATGGTCCAAGCTGACCATTGGAAGCCCTACACGAATCAGGGTGTGAGTGTGTGTGTGTGAGAGAGAGAGAGAGAGAGAGAGGCAATATGAACCAGGCATGTCCTAAAATACAACACCAAGATAACTTGGATTCAAGAAAGTCCCCAAAACGCTAGACGAAGTACCGAAGCCCCCAATGTTTTTCAGAAACCATTCCCCCCTCTTCATCTTCTAATTTCCATAACAGTTTGTATACGTTCTCAGTCCAAGCACAAGGTCAAGCACCATATCCCAGTGGTTTCAACTTTCAATGGAGTGCTTCATCTCAACCCTTGATTCTGCTCTCAAATTTGAATCTCAGGCCTATCCACTTGAATTGAAAAACTAAAGATAAGGGAAAAGCACAAAATAGACGAAAGTATATGACCCAAGATCCTAAGGTCCAAGTCCTACTTCCAAGCTTACCAATACAAAAAATATTTTAAAAAAATTAAGATAAAAAATAAAATTTTCTTACCAGCAAAAGCTCATGAACCACGGCTTGTGTCATGGCCCTGCTGGTCACCATGCGGTGCCGTGATTTGGCGAAGCAGCATCAGTAGCAAGAATCGGAAGATGACATATTTGCCCCTAGTGCTTATAGTCCGCCGAGGGGAGACTCGTGGGCATGATCATCCACAAGCCAGAGGCCAAAATCACGAAATCGCTTGATCTTCTTATCGAAGCCAGTGATGTAGTTGTTATGTATAATGACATGCTTGCCTTTGGTTTCGTCGACCCAAGTCTGATTTTTGAAGTAGAGACCCCCTGATGGGAATCCAGTCTGGGGTAGCAGATAGAGATCAACCTGAAAGCAACATTCGTTATCTAATTATTCATCATGTTATCGGCAAAACCCAATTCCTAAATTTCTTTAGAAAGGTGCTTTAACTCCTAAGACACGCTCATGCACACACACACACGAGGGAGAGGGGGGGGCAGAGGGAATACACTGTTAAGTAAGCTGAATAATGAATCATATTCTTGTAAGGCAGTAGGCGCTATGTGATTGGTCTTAGAAAATTAAGTTCATAAGATTAGAAAGGTTTTCGCATTATCAATCTAATCTTGGGAACTCGAGACAGAACAATGGAAGCTAGCAGAAATGGAAAGGATACAAGGAAAGACATTCATAGAATCTCACTTGATTAAGTTACCTCAAAAATGCTGATATTCATGGTGCAGGTTAACTTATTGTTGCAGCATCTTGTTCTGAACTTTACTCAGCTTTAATTATATTATATTCCTCCTTGTGTTTTCATGTTGATCCTCTTGAGTTGTGCAGAAGGTTAAAGAATAAAATAAGAATGTTTGAAAGTAAAATATTAACATGGGAATGACTCCCACACTTATTACCGGTAGCCAGTGGAAGGAACAAAACCATAAAAGACATCCCAGATTGTCAAGCTTCATTTTATTCTCCTACTACAGACTAAGCAGTAACAATCCTGACCTCGAAATTTTTTACATATGCTATCGGATGATTATCCAGAAGAGATGCACTTCAATTTTCATTCCAAACAGACACAACAACTTTGTTATCAACATCATTTTATCCTCCTTTTGGTGAAAAAAACACATTCCAGACCTCACTTTGTTACATGATGATATATGACTGCAGCATACAACTTTTGCACCATTCAACAGATATCTCAATTTACACATACTTCTTACACTGTGAGTCTATCAGTAAGATGGCAAAATGCAATAACACACCTGGCCAGCAGTTTTATTTAATGCCCAATTGAAAGCAGGCTGGTCGTTTGTCTTTGTTTTGGTCGACCAAGGTTGGACTTGGAGCTCTTCAATCCATTTCTTCATGACTAGTTTTGCTCCAGGTGTAGGCCTCAAAAATATCATGCAGCTGCAAATGTAAGTGCGTCCTTTCTTTCCTGGTGCTGGCAAATCATGGGAGTGGTTCGGGGGTTTGACCTGGTTATTGGTGGATAAGTACATAGAAATACAGAAGCAACAGTAGTCGTCTTGAACAAAATTATCTTTTGGTTTTATTAAATGAAATTTGACTTCTAACCATCATTTCACTTCCTAAAAACAGAAGAATAGTGGTTTTGAATCTTTGCACCTAATTCCACTCTCAAAAGGAAACTGCACCTAATGACTTAAATCTCTGATTCCAGTCATGCATAGAGTAGAGAATGCATACAGACATGAGTACACAGATATGCATACAAACACAAGTACACACTATCTATAATTACATACAGAGACATATGTATGTGCACATGGAGAGATACAAAAATGCATAATACATACAGGCATTCACAAATGCATGCATGCATGCATAAATACAAATATACATAATAGATTTATGCAGTCTTTTGGGAACAAGTAAATAAGAATAGAAGCTCATAACTGAGGAAGTCCTTATATATACCGCAGCCATATCATCTGTGAAGTAAACATCATGGTTCCCCTTGAAGTACGGGAAGGGATCAGCCATCCAGACCATATCTACATCATTGTACAGTGCATTAAACCCAAGCTCCAATATCTGTAGCAGGTGCTGAGGTCTGCGTGAAGTAAAATTGAAGAATCCCTGTCGACCACCGATAATCACATAAAAAGATAAGCTTGAATACATTTAAATTATGAAGTAGGAAGAGCAAAATGATATGCTAAGAAGAACAATACATATAAAGTAGGAGACGGACATGGATGGATGTTCCAGGCTGGAGAAACACATAGAGAATCATGGAACAATCCATTGATGTAGCATCAAACACATTCTGCATATAAGCATACTTATCCTTGATATAGGATCATCTAGATTCTCGTAGAAACTACAGATTTCAAAGAAACACTTCAATTCTGAGACATGCGAGAAGGCCATAGAATATACCCTACACTGTCCGAATCATTTAGATATTCGTTCTGACCCCCCAAACCCTCTTCCAGTTAAAATAGAAAAGACTCAACTAAAAGCACATGTTTGCACTTAAAACCAAGGAGTTTGTGGTACCCATCCAAAAAACATCATGTTAAACACAAACAGAGCACATACACAATTCACATCATGCATACTGCAAATCATTAATATTTTTTACTTCTATCACATAAGGGGAGGAGAGGGGGCACCCATGACTTTTGTCGAATGAATCTTCAACTAAATTTCCCAAAATAGGCACTAACTTTGCAAATTGCCCAAAATTTTGGTCCATTTTATCAAATTTTCAAAGTTCACACTTTCCAGTCTGAAGTTCAGTTCAAAATTTTGGTCCAATATAATGGTTTTACATTCCCAAAATCCTCTTTTGATCAGAATATAGATAAACGCAGGCCCCAACTAAATAAAACACAAATCCAAAAACTGCAAGATATCTCCATTCTCATCTTAAATTCCAAAATATCAAGAGCAACCCAATATAAAGTACCTGAGATCCAAACTTATGGGCAGTCTGAGAATCAGGGGCAGGGGGTACAAGCACCGCGTGACCAGGCCATCTCCGATTCACCTCATAAAGGGTGGCATAGTCCTCAGCTATAACCAAGACTTTATCTTGATGCTTTTGCCTTGAAATGCTGATGACCCAATTGCTTAGGAAGGGTAAATAGGGCTTGCTCACTGCACAAACTATAACTGTGCCACCATTCTTTCCAACAAAAGCCACAGCTTGAGCCAAGGTATAATCCTTCCACTTTGAGAGAGAACTGTTATTACCAGAAAAGAGGCTTTTTGGAAGGCCCAGCCATGGGAACAAGATCCCAAACAAAATCATGAGAAACAATAAAATTAAGAGACCGGTTGAGCTAACCAGAGAGATGGATCTTGGTTGAACGCCATAGAAACGAGGGGAGATGGGGAACTTTGTTGGGTTGCTCTGTTGTTGTTGCCTTTGATGAAGAGTAGGCATAGTTCTTTGCACTAGTATTGCAAAATTTTGCAACTACATCTATAAGGATAGGATTATAATTCCATAAAATATTTCACTGAATAGAGTGAAGTAGTGAACACAGTCACAAAAAACAAGGACTGAAAGTCGATGCCTCCTCTCTTTTATTGAGAAGATATTGTGGAGACCGGGTATTACTCAAAGACACAAACACAGCGAATATGTTGAATTCAGCTCCCTCAAACCAAATCTGATGCAGAATAAAAATAATAGTATTAATTCCCAAGTTCTCAATGTGTTACCTTAAGGTTGCACTGAATACATTTATCTCTTGCTATTTTAGACAAAAGTCAGCAAATTTCTCTAATTGCTGACTAAAATGAACCAAAACCCAGAAAAAGCGTTAGATAATTCCCCAAATTTATACTGCATATGGACATTGTTTGCTAATTACTGCTTAAATCCATGGAATGTACTCCTATTTAAAAATAGTAACCAACCAAACAATTGCAACTTTAATGTGTCCAATAATTCAGAGAAAAATTGAGTTATTTATCATGTTTATCATGGAAAATCCCATTATTTCTCAGTATCTCTCCATGAATTTACAAAAGAAACATGTAACAGATCATGGAAACCTCAGAGCCAAATCTCTCCAAAAATATTCAGTAAATTAACCACATTTCATGACCTAGCTCAATAACCTCAAAACTCCTCAAAAATATCTAGCAATTCCCCAAAATTTACATTGAATATGTCATTTTTCACTAAACATGCACAATTTCATAGAAGATGTTTCCCAATAAAATATATACTGGATCAAGCTAACAATTGATCGAAAACCTCTTGAAATCAATCAGGCTAGATCTACGATTTTCAGTAGTAAATAGTAAATGTAGTTATATATGCAGATCTTTGTTGATTTTTATATACACAAAATGATTTTTACCCCAGGAAACTGCCTTAAGCTGATAAACCAAAAGTACTGCTGAGAAAAGAAAAAGAAAAATTAAAGATGCATTTCTTGATCAGAATGCTTAAGAATATGCAACGTCTAGGGTTTTAACTGTGAGTTTGAAACCTTAGTCCTGCAATTCTTCGACGAGAGAGAAAGAGAGAGAGAGAGAGGAGAGACCGTGGTAAGATTGAAAAATACATGGGAAAAAATTACAAAATATTTGTTTATTTTTAATGAAAATAGGGGAAATTTAGAGACGTATTATTTTTGAAATTAAAATATTTCATAGTTTTACACTTTTGTCTGCTTTTTGAGGGCACAAAGTGTGTTCCAATTTGGTCTTTTTTTTCCATATAACACATAAAGTTCGGTACATCATACTTCTTACCATCACATATATAAAAAAATATTTATAACAATATTAAAAAATAATACTAATCAAAATACCCCAATTATATTTAAAAGTATGTTTAGCAATTTTAATTATTTTAAATTATTTTTGCTAATTTTTACGTGCATAACAGTGAGAAAGTGGATATACTAAATTTGAGTTCAATCAAATATATAGAGAAAAGATAAAATTAAAATCCCTTTTAAAGGTAGGACTTGCATATAAAATATAAAATATATCTTATTTTAAGTTCTGAAAATAAACAAGATTTTTCCATAAATATGCGAAGAAAATAAACAGTTTATATAGGCAAAATTAAAGGGAAATCCCATACAAGTTGGATAAAAAATGACCTTTAAAACCCACAGAAAAAATTGATTCAACTATGGAAAAACCTTTAAATAATAATCTTCATCTCGAGACATATGGATATGAAAAAAAAAAATCGAGGCCTAAAAATTTTGCATATTATAACACATTATCTAAACCATCTATTTTTAATATTCTTAAGTATTTATAGATCTGCTCGATGTGTACCAATTTTAGAGTTGAAATTTCATCATTCACGGATGGAAATTTATTTTCAAATCATCACAAGGGCTTTTGGCACCAAAATTCCATATTTCAAGAGGGTTTACAGGTGCCCATCACTCTGAATGTTCAGTGTTGTTTCCCTTAGGACGTGTTTGGTAAGTGAAAGTTTCTGGAAGTGGGAGTTAAATGTCCCACTTCCATGTTTGATATTATTGTGTGTGGAAGCTGTAAACTGGAAAGGGCGACCTTCCATGCAGCTTTTCTTAGTGTTAAAAGGAGTTCATTTTTTGGAAGACCTCTCTTCCATAAAAAATGATGGAAGGGCAGTCTTTCATAATTTGTGGGAGAGTCCCTTCTACTCCCAAAAACTCCATGTGTCAAACGCACCCTTAGGGCCTGTTTGATAACTAGAAGCAAGTTCATGAACTGTATATTGGACGTTCCTCTTTGCTGGGAAGATATAAGTTACTGTAAGAAGTTCCTGGTTTCTGTGTTTGATTACCTCATGGGAAGTTAGAGAAGTTCCTGGTTTATGTGTTTGATAACCTCCTAGGAAGTTAAAGAAGTTCTTGGGCGTTATGGTAATCTTTAGCAGTTATAATAAAGCCTCGTTAGGTTGATTTCTTTAAACTAGAAGGCACTAAATATTAAGCATAAATAAATAATAAAAAGTACAAGCCATTATAGCTCAAACATAAATAGAGAAAATGCAGAGAAAGCCAGAACAAAAGTACCACAATGAATTTTAGTAATCATTGGAAGCTCAAAGTACAATCCAGTAACCAAGTTCTACAACAACGAGAATGCAGATCTATATCGTCTAGACACTTTAAAGAGAAACAAAGCAAAAAATTGTCATATAGAGCTTAAGGAAACTCAATGCGTTGAATATGCCAAAACTGTACAAAATAAAACCATCATAGAATTCAACATAAAAGATCAGAATACGAATGCATTGGCCACAATTCAACATGCTGAACTGTTTAGCATTTAGCACACAAAAGGCTCCCAATTATGCAAAAAAAGACAATGTTGGAAAAGTACATGCTCAACCAGAAACATAACCACCCTGTACTGTTGAACCATAAATAAAGCATAACAAAAGAAAGCATAATAACAGAAATCTAATCAATTCCTATAAAAGAAAGCAAGATAATTAGTAAGGGCCTATTCTTCAAGCATAGGTTTCTCTAAATTCAAGTCTTCTATAATTCAAATTCACATTCACAAAAACCAAAGCTAAAGCTGCATAGAATATGGCACGTATACACAATCAATAAGGAGCTAAATGGGCAATGAATAGACTAGAGAGTATAGAAATAGATAAGTATCAAAAGAAGGAAATATCTCATATAAGAAGAGACCCAAGGTCTCATCTGTGGTTAAAGCAATGTCTTCCATTAGGAGCCATCCCATATGAAATCTCATAATCAGAATATTGTCATCAAGTCCATCCCCAGCTAATGCTCTCTCTCTCTCTATTCCCACATGTTGCATGAAAACATCTCACCTGATTACTTCACTTTCCCCTTAATGACTAAATCATGCTAACTATGTGATGCCATCATAATCATTGCAGCCAATCTTATTGTTTCTTTCAAACCAAATACAGCTGAAGATCCTTACAGTAAATAACAGATAGGATGCTAATATTCATGATAGAGCATTGCCACAATTTGCAGCACAATGAAGAAAACCTTCTCAATAACTCAGTAAGAATTTTCTAAAGGGCATTGAAAAGGTTAATGGATAAATTGAATTGTCATCCAAATGACAATTGCTCAAATAAGGATGTGACATGAATTAGTTAAACAGAAATATAGAAAATACGACAAACAACATTTTAATTAGCCATGAAAGTAAAGTTGATCACTTCGGAAATCAGTGTTCAATAAGAGCACTGAAACCAAATCTTCATTCATTATGAACCCGAAATCACCTTCCAATTTCCAAATTTGACTATGACCATTCCCATAAACTAAAGTTTCTTGACAGAAGTCCTACAAAACTAAAACCAATAATACTCATTTGATGCGAATAGTCTCTGAAAAATAGTATATGGGTGTCAAATTTCTTCTCTCTCTTGGTGTCATGGCATGGACAATAGTCCCTGTGCTTGGTATCACAGAACTCGAAGAAGTTGGGGATGGTGGTCTCATAGTCTGATAGGTTTGGGAGTGAAGGATCAGAGTGGTGGTGTTCAAAGTCCATAAAGGGTCCATATTGGTGAAGAGTAAGGAGATCCAGCCTTACCCCATAACCAAAACAATCTGCAGTTGAATTGGAGAATGGGTTTTCTAATCCTCTTTTTTCATATAAACTATTTTTGGAGTGGCTCCTCTAAATAATATTCGATTTGGAGCTCCAAAAGATTTAAATCTTTTGCATTTGTCCAAAATTGACTTTGACGGTTGAGAATTCTTGGAACTCTAATTCAATTTTTTCAATTTTTTATGGAATTGTTTCCATAATAAAAACAATATAACAAATTTTAAGGTTTGCATGAACTAGGGTGATGCTAATGTAGCAATCTCACGGTGAATCAAGCTAATCAAAATTACAGCAGTCTGGAATGAAGCATACTGATTCCAACAAGAACCCAAACTATCAAATGATTGTGCATCCATATTCTTATCATGCAGACAACCAACAAGCTCTCTAATATCTTATCTGCAGACAGCCAACAAGCACTCTAATACGGATAGATTGTCAAGGAACTTGATGTCAAGCACTCAAAACAATCAGTTAACCCTGAATCTAGATTTACAACATAGAAAAATCACGAAATAAAGCTTTTGCATTGCCTTAGAACTCGATTTACAACATAGAAAACTAATAAACCAATTCAATACTACATTCAACATAGGAAATTATACAAAAATAAGTAGATTTAACCCTAGAAATGTTTTTATAGGGTTTCCTCCAAAAAAATCCCTGAGAACAATGTTGCTAATAGAGAAATCCGAAATTAGCAAGAAAAAAGAAGAAAACAAATGCAAAATCAACAAAGAACTCAGTGATTGGAGGTACTTGTTGAGGTTGCAAGGCCGCAAATTGTACTGGGCGAGAGGCTGCCTTTACTGGGAAGAGAGAGCTACTAGTACTGGGCAAACTCGGGATTGAACTTTTGTTGTATTTATTTTCATGTGAAAAAAATAATTTGTATTTATTTTCATGTGAAAAAAATAATTTGAAAGTTCACATTTTGGACCCATTTTTTAGTGAAATTTGTGTTCATAAACTAAACTTTCTGACACAAAAAAGGTAAAAAGCTTGCAAGTCCATTCTGCCCCTCCTGGAGCCAAAAGGTTTGGAAGGTTTATCTTCCAAAGCCATATCTTTCACCAAACAAACGCGCCCTTTGCATGCTAGGTTTGAAGACTGGTGTTCCAAACCCACCACTCACACTCAATTTCTCTTTTCTTATTTTTTTACTAACTTGTTTTTTTTTTGTGTCAAATTGTCTAGATAGAAAGTTAGTAGTTCTATAAATTACTTCTCTATCATCATCATCATATTATATTTCAGAATCATGTAATCCTACACATGATAATATCTTGCATAATCAAGGAGATATGTTGCGTATAATGTACGCACCTAACGGTTTGATTGATTGTACATTTGTCGATTTGGTTCAAAGTAAAAATCAAATTTGGTAAAAAACGAGTTAAAACCAATATTGACTTATTTCCCTCATCAGATGTCTGTTTTTTATCATATCAACATGTTAAAAAAATGGGGTGATTTTATAAATGCATTTTATATTTTGAATCATTGTTTTTATTTTTTTTTATTTTTTAAAAATTCAATCCAACCAGCTCAACAAAATGGGGTGATTTTATAAATGCATTTTATATTTTGAATCATTGTTTTTATTTTTTTATTTTTTTCAATCTAACCAGTTCAACAAGACCCTCGCCAATTTGGTGAGCCATCTCACCATCGCCAATTTGGTGAGCCATCTCACCAAATTGGCTCCTAGGTACCTACAACACTCCTAGGTACCAAACACCAGGTGTTAATGTGACAATACTTGTAACATTTACACCCCATGTGTAACTCTAATGATTATCCACTTATTCATTATTACTCGAGTCCTAATGAAAAAGGACACCGTTTTGGTGAGTTAACCAACTCACCTATTATCATGCGATCCTTTGTCTACTTAACGTCCATCTCTAAGATGGATGTCAAAAAAATATTATGTAAAATTGACAGTGAAAAAAGAAATTTAAAAAATAATATTTATATTTTTTAAAAAATAAAATTTCTAAATTTAAATTATTGTCACGGTTCAGATTATCGAACCCTAAAATTTTGGATCAAAAATACATATTTGAGATATATTTTGTAGAGAGACCGCACAAAAGAGTGTAAGTCGGCCAACTCACAAAACACACTTGTCCAAGGGAAAAAAAAAAATGAAATGGTTCGAATTCAAGTTCCTCATAATTTTAAGTTGAAGCGTATCGTGCTATAACCATATCCAAGTACGGATTATTGTATATTTTCTCTATTATACAAATGCAAACATCGTATTTTGAGATGCGCCCAATTTGATTGTTTAGAACCTCGCACTTACGTAAACTCTTTTTTTGATTAATTGTAGAATACAATTGTGATAATGAATAAGGATAACATATTATACTTGTACTAAATAATTTTGATGATGAATAATTCGTATTTATGTACATGGGATCGATTTCAAATCTTCAGCTTATGCAATACATTACTTATTTAACCAGCAGTCCCCTCCAAATCCTTAAGTTGTTGTATGGTATTTTTAACGCACATGTATCCGGTGCAATTAATGAAGGAGCCAATAGCAACGTGGTCTAGTGTACCAAAATTGTCAGCGGACCACGAAAGCATAAGCTTATTTTGAGGTAAACTTGAAAAAGTGTTAGATTGGCCTCAGAATGCATAGGAGGGTAGTTTTGGATGCCTTACTGACCCTTGTTAAATTTCATGATGATCCGACAAGTTTCAAACCAATAAAGACGAAACTCGGATCTCAATTTCAGTTTCTAACATGTTGAAAAAGTGCCTCATAACTACAACTCTATTATTGGGGTTTCGGATGAGTACCAAACCAGCTTCCATTGAATTCATAAGGTCTAAAAACCCTAAAATATCAAATTTAGCTCATCCAGATATTTTCGATTATTCTAAAGCCAACTTACCTAAAGAGAATAGGTTTTACACTATTCTGGTGCAACCTCATTGAATGCTATGTGAGCTCGAGATTGTTTTCTAAATGTCATAACTTCTCCAATTTAAGCCTTATCAAGCTCAAAGTTCAGAGAGTTTTTCATCTCTTCAACACGCATGTTCTGAAATATGGCCCGACGCATGACAAAGACCGAGACGGGATAATTTGTAGAGAGAATTTGAGTTTTGAAACGCATACATTGCAGATTTTTAAAGAGAGACATCATATTGTTCAAGAGGCCATATCATGAAGCCTCGACACTGGATCGTCGCAAATATGGGTACATTACGACCGTATTTATGAGAGCTTTGATTTGAGGTATATATTGAGTGTGATCAGAGAAAAAATGAGACTTAATTTTGAGTTTAAAGAAGGCAAGTTTTTCTGCCGCTGGAATCCCATTTTTCGGTGATCTCCCCAATTTGGAAAATGCTTGAACGGTGACCAAATCGAACTATTTTTATTGCAAAGCGATCATACAAAGTCCTTTTCTTGTGATTAAAAAGAAGACTTGAGACGAGACGGATCATTCTACATCGATGACCGAAATTCAACAGTTCAGGAACTTGGCCGGATTTTGGGATTAACTTCAAAACTCCGAATCATGCCAAATAATGGACATCAAAATGTTCATGATAATGCGAGCAGCTTTTTTACGGTATTTGATCATCCAAATTATCGCTGAAAGGGTTCGAAAAAACTCCCAATGCATAGCAATGGCATGAGGCCCCTCCAAGAGGGATAGTTATGTCATTTTGTGAAAAGTGTCGAGGTAAAATGATCATTTTGGCCAAAAACGGGATTTTGTTTTTATTCATTAAAATTACTATTTTTAGTGATTCTGTTGAGTATTGGGCATCCACCCATGTTTCATGGATGTGTGATATAAGTGATTTAATCGTTTTGTAACATAAGTTGAATGGCTATAATGAAATGAGTGAAAATTAAGAGAGATGGTGTTTTTTGAGCATTGTTGAAAACCCTTTATACTTGAGCAATATGAGGGAGAATACTTTATACATACTTCTCTCTCATGACCTACACTTCCAAACTCCCTACTTCCATATCTCATACTTCCAAACTCCAAACTTCTATACTCCTCACTTCCATACACCTTACACCCCACACAACTCCTACACATACACAACTCCTATCTATACACCACTGTTACCCATACATCACACTTATCTATAGACCATACCCATACATCATACCCATATCTCTCCATACCCATATATCATACACCATACCCATATCCATACCCATACCCATACCCATACGTTATACACTATACCCATATCCATACTCATCCATACCCATAGCCATCTATACTCATACCACACTCATACCCATCCATGCTGAGAGCCGTGCACTCTACCCTCTTGCTCGTTTCAAGACGTTGGTCTCCGTTCATCTAGGTACCGATCTCTTTCTCTCTACTTTCTCTCTACTCTCTCTCTTTTCTTTTTCTCTATTATTTATCTCCCTTCTCTCTTTTCTTTCTCTTTCTTCTCTCTCTGCCTTCTTTCTTCTTCTCTCTCTTCTCTCTTTTCTATTTCTTCTCTCGCTTGTTTCTTTCTCTTTTCTCTTCTCCCTCCATTCTCGCCTATCTTCCATCTCTCTTTCTTCTTTTTCTCGTTCCTTCTCTCCCCTTTCCCCTCTTCTCTCTCTCACAGACGGGCCCGCAGCAGGCCCGTCACCTCTCTTTCCTCCTCTTTCCCCTCTCTTCCCTCTCTCCTCTCTCTCACCACTAACCACTAGCCCACGGTGGGCTTGTGGTTCCCCCTCTCTTTCTCCTCTATTCCCTCCTCCTCTCCTCCCCTCCCCACAAACCCACGGTGAACCCGTGCATCTCTCCCTTCCCTCTCCCCTCTCCCATGTACGGACCCGCCACGGGCCCATCACCTCTCTCTCTTCCCCTCACGGACCCACAACGGGTCCATGAACCTCCCCTCTCCCTCATCCTCTCCTCTCTCTCCTATCTCCCCTCTTTCTCACGGACCCATAGGTCTGTGAACCCCCTTCTCCTTTTATTCCACTCTCACGAACCCAAGTCTGTGAACTCCCTCTCTCTCACTCTTCTCTCTCTCTCTCTCTCATTTTCTACCCCTATCTCATATTTCTCTATCTTTTTCTCTCGTTCCAACACACTCTCTCCCTCTCGCACGGACCCATAACGGGTATGTGATTTCTCTCCCCTCTCTCTCTTCACTCATCTCAATCTGTTTCTCTCTCTTACTCTATATGTTTCTCAACTTTTAAAACTCTATTTTCACTTCTCTCTCTCTTATCTGATTCAAATGCTTTAGTTAGGATATTTGAGGGGCGACTTCTTAGAGAGCTGAGCTCTGAAATCGTCCTCTTACTCCCTTTCAGGTGTCTAAGTTGTGAGAGGTCCCCTCTTCTCTCTCATCTCCTTCTTCTATTTATTTCATCATATTTTTTTCCCTATTTCGATATCACTTTTCTCTCTCTTCTCTCCGATTCAGACACTTTAGTTAGTGTCTCTCTTCTCTCTGATTCAGACACTTTAGTTAGGGTCTCTCTTCTCTCCGATTCAGACACTTTAGTTAGGGTCTCTCTTCTCTCCGATTCAGACACTTTAGTTAGGGCTTTGAGTGGCGACTTCTTAGAGAGCTTGACTCTCAGATTGTCCTCTTATCCCTCTTCAAGTGTCTGGGTTGTGAGAGATTGCCTTCTCTCTCACTTCTTTCTTCTCCCTCTTATATTCTTATCTTATTTCACTTCTTTTTTCTCCCACTTATATTCTTATCTTATTTTGTTTTCTTTTCTTTATTCTTTTTTTTTTTTCATCTGATTATTCCCTTTAGGAGGCTCTTTGGGTAGTGATTTCTCGATGGGCTAGGCCCACGACTTCACTACTTTAAAATCCTCCTTATTACTTGGGATTTAAGCCTAGTATCTTTCTTGTCTATGGTAATATCTCTTAGGAGAGGTTACGCCGAAACGCTGCCTAATTTCTGGGTGAGTTTCCTTATTTATCTTCTCTACAACTTATTCTCTATCCACTCTCAACCCCTCTAAGCCTTAGATTAAACCCCCATTCTACCATATAACTACTAATAGAAGGAGATCCCAAAAAGGTGTACCCTGAATATCATTTTGAGTGTGTGGATCCGAGTGCTATGTAGTGAAGCGAGGTAGCTGAATTCAAACCGCACTGCAGGGACTGTCAGAGGGCTTTCAAAATGATCTAAAAATGCGAATCGTCCGCGCATCCCCTAAACCCAAACGGCGAGGTAGGTGCTCAAGCCCTCATTTACAGACTAAAATCGCTCTCTTGTTGGTTCCTATCCACAAGTCACGCACACGCACACACAAGCGCATGGGCCCTGCGGTTGTTTAATAGATGATTCATCAGACCGGATCACCCATATCGAGTAGACATGAGACGATGAAAAATCATGCCCAACCAACTGGACTCCACTCGGGACGTGTTCAAGCGTTTGGGGATCATGAAGTCCCCAACCAAAAATAAGAGGAATTAAATACCAAAGCCATTTTTTCTAGTGTGTATTAATATTACATCATTTCAACTGTATACTAGGGTCTACAGTCCTTTAGAGCATTTATTTTCAACAAATTCCTAACCTATTTTTCAACAAACACCTAACCTAATTTTCAACAAACATGAATTGTAATCTATCCATCCCACATTTATTTTGAGCAAACATCATTTATTAAATTCTAAAAAAAGACATAGACATATGACCACCCTTACATCTTCATCCTCTAGTTCACATCCTCCATGGAAGAGGACTCCAAAACACCGTGCAACCGGTCTCATATTTTGCTGCATCGGAGGCAATCCGAACCCGATACGAATTCTCACTTCTTAACAATTACTTTTAGACCATGAAGATCCGATGAATAGGCTGTTAAACTTGCAACTGGCTTCATATTTTGCTGCATCGGCAGCAATCCAAGCCCGACATGAATTCTCAATTCTCAACAACTACGCCATGAACATCCAACGAATAGGCGAGCTCTAGCATGGCTTCTTTGGCGTACTAGCGGTCAAGCTTTATTTTAATGTTGAATTATCTTTTTGTGGTGATTCCTCAGCTGAAGAAGTCTACTTTCGAGCGCTGAAGATCCGACGGATAGACGAGCTCTAGTATGGCTTCTTTGGCGTAATAGCAGTGAAGCTTTGTTTTAATGTTACATTATCTTTTGGCGTGATTCTTTGGCTGAAGAAACAGGAGTATCACTGTTGGATGTCATATACTTTTAATGAGCAGTACCCTCAAATGCTTTTAGTTTATGCTATACAATTATTCAAATGCCTTCACTTTGTGCGATACACTTATTGAACCATCAGTTTCCTCGGATGCCTTAAACTTATAATTAGTTTTTTTTTTTCACTGAAATTTTGAACTTCTAACTCGATTATTTTATTTATTTATTTGTTTTTATTTTTTACAAATTTTGCTCAAATTTATTTTTTCACCAAATTCTAACTTCCAGTTACCAAAGGAATAAATACTATGGGACATATGTAAGGGGTACTTCATCTCAAGTAGTTTAAGAAGGAAGCATACAATAATGCTCATACTATGATTATTGAAACACCAAAAGCATGTTGGTACAAAAATATCATACTATGATAATTGGAAACACCAAAAGCATGTTGGTACAAAAAGATCATACTAAACGTAGGACCTTGGCCTTCTATTTTCTTTAGTAAAATGGAGGAGTTTTAAACCTTGGAATTAAGTTTGGGACAGTCCCTTCACTATCAATACTAGTGAAAAATCGGTTAAAAGAACTTACAAAATACAACTAACTTGTCAACTTTGTAATATTTTATCTATTTTTAACTATTCCAACTCGTAATCATGTGCATATGGATAAGTTTTTTGAAATTGAACTAAATAAAGGTAAATTGTTAAATAGTTTATCTCTTAAGTGTATTTTAGTTTTTTTAAAGCAATAAAAAATAAAACCAGAGGATTAAGGAGGAATGGAATAAGATCACCTGCCAACTTAAACCAATTTAGATTGACAATTTTTAAAACATTAATGGCGATAAGCAAGTTCGTATAGTGACAAATTTACCAAAAACCCATTTTCATCCACATTAAACCACTTAGACTGAAAAAAAGAGAATTTCCCTATTTATTTATAACTTTTCTAGTTTTGGAGCATCACACAACTTATGGGATTTTTAAATAGGAAAAAAATTATATAATATTACAACTTTATTTGTATAAATAATATTGCATTAATCTATACTGTTCATTTTGTTTGGATGGTGTAGATTAGACACAATTTTTAAAAAAGTGCCATTACATGATACAATCTTAAAAAATATGTCAAATCTACACTGTCCTAATAAAATAGATAGTATAGGGTATCACAATCTTATGGTTTTGCCTCTACCAAATTTATCCTTACCAAAGCTCTTGTTTGAGGGTAACTTGGACTGGTGTTCTACTCAAGCCTCACAGGCCTTCCCATTGTATAAGAACGCCATTCCTCCTAAAATCACTATACACAAGTGTTCTATTAATCTTTATTGTTTTTCTCATTAAACCACCCTAAAATATTCAAAAAAAGTTTAGTGTTAAAGCCTTGATAAAATAAAAAAATAAAAAAATAAAATCTTAGTGTTAGAGCCTTGTTAAAATAAATAAATAAATAAATAGTGTCAGAGCCTTAAAAAAAAGTTTCCAGCATTCAAACCTCCTAAAATCTTGAGAAAGAGGTTAGGATGGGAAACCTGACATAGAGCTTGGTTCTTAGCATATGCCTAGGTAGTTAAGAGTACTTAGATTTCGCTTGATGCATGAATATTCCTAGAAACTTCATAGTCGGGCCAGGCTTGGGTTAGGGCCTTGTCAGTGCATACCTATTTTGGCATTTTCTTTATTCTTACATTTAATCTTTTCTTGCATCGGATCTATGAGACCCGATTCCATACGGCCAAGCCTAGACAGGGCCAGGCTGGGCTTTGGCGTGCCCTACAAAGACCAGGGCCAAGTTAGGTCTAGGCTCGACCCGACCTATCACGGGCCCTCAACATTTGTTTTTGTTCAAATAAATAGACGACATGCAAAGTGATTTAAAAAATGGATCGGTGGCCCAAATCGGACACTCAAAATCCTGTTTGAGTTGGTAAATCGACGATTCGGATCGTCATTTTACTGAATAGAAACAACTAGTGAACCCACAAAAAAATATGTGAAAAATAGTGAACCGGCCAAAAACCAATATGGAACGGGTGAATAAGTGGTTCGGCTGTTGTTTTACTATAGAGAATCATTGTTTTACTGTGTAGAACCGCCGGTTCCTTTACAAACTCACTGTTTTTTTTATATATACGCAAAACTAGAATGGGTGGTGACCAGTTCTCCGATTAGATCGAGCAATTCCGTGCCGACCCTACTCTTTTTGGACCCGCATGAGTTTTATTTGTGGGAGTGAATGTACAACTTATTCCCGCGGGAGCGTAAAATCTTTTTGCCATTCCCAATTTCCCAATTCCAACTGCTTGCAAGCAGAGCAACCAGACCACCAAATAAATTCCCAATCAATTCCCTTCATAATGAAGTCAGTCCCTCTCTCTCTCTCTCTCTCTCTCTCTTCATAATAAAGTCAATCTCTCTTCTCCATTACTTTTACTCCACTCATCAACCCAATTCTCGTCCTCCATTATTTCACCATAATTTCCTTAACCTTGTTTTCTGAGCATTTCATTTGATGATTCTGTCTCTCTTGATCTCTGTCTCAACATTGCCAAATATGGGGCTATAAATCCCTGTAACTTCCATTGCTTTGTCATGCATTGCATTTGATTCATCTCCTTCATTGGGAGTTGACTCAAGGGAGTATAAATCCTCTGCAAGTTCTAAGGTTTTTGGTAGGTGATTGAGGAATGCAGCATTTACAGTCGGAGGGTCCAGCCGCCATGACCTTCGACGAGGCCTCCATGGAAAGGAGTAAGAGCTTTATGAAGGCCCTACTGGTCGGTATTACTCTCCATAACAGCCTTCTTTAATGGCAGTTGACATTTTTCTTTATTATGTGGGGTTTTAATCTGTAGAGCTTTTGGGTTTCAGATCTGGTCTCAGTCTTGGTTATCTGTATATAGGAACTTCATGGTTCATTTTTCTCCTTTTCTCCCCCATTGCCCCAACATTTGATTTGAATTTCAGTATTTCTTTTATTTGTTTTTGGTTGATAATTTTGCTTCCTATGTTTTTTTCCCCTTGATTTTTTCTTTTCTTCTCCTTTTTAAGAATAGAAGAATATGTTCAAGTTGTTTTTGTTAATTTTCATTTGAATTAGGCATGCTCAATTCAAAATTGCAATCCTTGTGTGTCAAGCTTAAATGATAAACATTTGTACTTTGATATATTTGTTGGCCTTATACTTTGTTATATTATCGAATTTTCACAGAGATATGGAGATTGCTGGCTGGCATGCCAGAGTTTTTAGTATCTTATTCTGATTAATTTTCCTATTAATTATACCATAATAGGATCTAAATTGTTTCATCTTTCAACATTGGGTTGTTTTATGCATTTTTTGTTCTTTAGTTCTCTTCATTTGGTTATGGTGACCAACCTTTGTTCGAATTGATAGTTTTATAGGTTCTTCTTGTCACTGGTAATCATATTCATTAAAGCTGAAAGTTTTTTATTTTAACTTGTTGCTATACAAGAACTAGGCTATTATTTCAAATACTTGCCAAGTATTTTGACTATTGGGTTGAATTAGCATTTGTTAGCTTTGTATTTATTTTATTTATTTTGTTGTTTTTGTCAGATATTTTTCTTGGGTATTATATATAGATTATGAGATTGTAATTTAATTCTTCAACTTATCAAATATTATTTTAAAAAATTTAGATAAGGTTTTAAGGAATTTTCTGTTTTCACTTTTGAGTTTTTATTTTTTTTGTTGTAGTTATTGATATGTGACACTGTGATCTCAATAATGGATCTCGTGCCTTTTTTTTCTTTGAGTTTTTTGTCCTTGAGATGTTTATGTATGTTTTTTTTCTCTGCTGTGCCCAATATAACACTTCATTGACACGCTTAGATTGGATGATTGAAATTCCTTTATTTAATGTGGTCTTCTGGTCTTTTAACAAAAAAAAAAAGTGTGGTCTTCTGGTCTTTAATTAATTTTTTAATGGTCTTAATGCTATTCTGCAGGAGCTTAAGAATTTGAGGCCACAATTGTATTCAGCTGCAGAATATTGTGAAAAGTCGTATCTCCATAATGAGCAGAAACAGATGTAAGGGTGCTTAACCTATAGTTATTCAACATTTTTTTCAATTATCAAAGCAAAATATGCAACAGCAAATTTATTTTTATCCATGATTTACTAGTATATTAAGGTGGTTTCGTTCCCTTGTTATAATTTCCGTGCAGCTTCATGTTATTTGAAAATGTTTTTTTGTGAAAAATGGTGGTTTTTGATTAATTGCTGCAGGCATCTTATTATATAACCCTGAATAGATACCCGGGGTTGAGATTTGCATTGCATCATGACATCAAGGAAACTTTCAATGTTAATTTCTTGTATTAGTATCAAATTTCTGGAATTCTACTCCAACATTGACAATGTTCAGTTTTTAACAATATGATTTCCAATTTTTTTTTTTTAAAAAGAAGATTTCCAATTGTAAACAATGTACTTCCATTGCGCCATTCTGAAAAATTTGCTGTGAGAACAGTGGCTCTTAGTGCCTCTCTCTCTCTCTCTCTCTCACACATACTGAGTTAGTTGCATAATTTGCATTATTAGGGTACTGGATAACTTGAAAGACTATGCAGTTAGAGCTCTTGTCAATGCAGTTGACCATCTTGGTACAGTTGCATACAAGTTAACTGACCTGTTTGAGCAACAAACAGTGGATGCCTCATCAGTGGAGCTGAAGATTTCATGTCTGAATCAGGTAAGGTTTGCACCATGGTTCTAAATTTGGATTTCGGAATGCTTTTATGCAGGTGCCAAAATTTAGCTTTAGCTTTCAAACTGTATCATGTTTGGAACTTGCTTGAAGGTTAAATAGTTGAAATTTTGGTTTTCTGATGAACATACCAAATCTATTGTTAATTTTTGGCATTAGAAAGTTTCAATATTATCAAATTAGACCTTCCTCCTTTGGATTGTTTAAATGGAAATCTTGCTGAAATAGGGCTGACTGCATCTATTGGGTATTTCAAATTATCACAGTGAACATTGGTTTCCACTTTCCACTGTTTATTTGTATCATGTATTCATATTTGAATCAGAAGTACTCAAGGAAGTTTTTTAATTTGTTTCATCATCTGAACTGGAATTTAATTTTGTGGCAAATGTAGCATCTTCAAACTTGTCAAGCTTATACAGATAAGGAAGGACTAAAACAGCAGCAGTTGTTTACAGTCATCCCGAGACATCATAAACATTATGTTTTGCCAAGTAAGAGGGACTCTTACAAACTAGGTTTTTGCAAAATTTAGCTGTTGGTTTCCTAATAGAAGTCTATTTATTGCCTGAACCCAGAGCTAGATACCGTGAACAAGAAGTCCCAGAGTAATGGGCAGATAAGGCGTGAAGCTGGCCAAAAAGATGTGCAGGCAAAGCCTTTCCCTTTAGGTAGAAGCTAAACAGTTGAAGCATCCTTTGTTTTCACTGATGGTTGATAATGTCATCAACATGTATGGATTTCTGATATTTCTATTTGCAGGCATGTATTTATGTAGGCATGCTTGTGGTTTCATTTGATTCATTATATTCATATCTGTCTATTTACATGGTCATTTGTATGCATGCATATATGCATGTCTTACGTTCTCTGTCTTTTAATATTGTAGACTATGATGTAAAACGTCAATTTATTATGTTCCTTTACAAATATTAGGCACCAGTGCATCAAAAACTCTTTCATGGCATTTAGCTTCAAATTCTAAGGCTACACCAGAGGGGGACTTATACACATCAACTACAAGGTAATTTCTTTTAGTGTTTGTACATTTTTTCTCTTGTAGGCACTAATGCACATCCATTATGGGTGTGCTGGTATTTGTGTATGCCGGTATGTACCTGTGTCTACTCATAATACTAGTTTGTTTTTTGCTTTATATATGTCTCATTGTCTCCTTATGTTCCCAGTGTTTTTTTTTTGTTTTTCGGACTAGACTAAAATTCTAATCTTTATGTACTTTTTTGCAGTGTGAGAGATTCTACATCTTCTGCAACTGCTTCTGGTGTCTTCTATCTGCCTGGTACCTTCCTTTGTGTGACATTTGCTTCTTATGAAAGGGAAAGTATGCTATGGTACAAGAGTATGGGAAAACATAGTCCTCTGGGTCATGACCATCCACTGAAATGATGGACGATAATGGAGAGAGTGGGATGCACAAGAATGTGACATGACCCCGTTGGTGGGCTGTACAAACTTACCTCCAGCGTCCATCTTGACAATGACCCATGATAATCCAATGGGTTATGTCTTTTCGTAGTCCTCCCCCTCTCGTCATTAAACACGCTATACTTAACTATAAAAAATGTCTTGTTTCTTAGTTAACCTTCTCCTCAAAAAAACAAAATAAAAATAAAACGAAAAAAGTGTTGTTTCTATATATGCTGTGGTGTTTGTGCCCTGGCTGAGTTCATCTTCTATCAACCTTATGTCTGCAAACACTGCAGTTATCCTGATGAAGTGATTTTGATCATTTTGTAGATGAAGTTGCTACCTCATCAATGCCTCCTTCGGCTGCACGCATTGAACCGTCAAACCGAGCTGCCGATTCAGGTGTTGCACTGCATGCTCTCGGTATCACACGACGGGTAATTGCAAAATCCATGACAAAAGCAACTCAGAGTTGCCCTAGTCTATTTTGAGTAATGGGTGCAATTTTCTTTATTTAAGCATTTTTCCACGTTCTTTGGCTGCATGTAAGAGAAAAAATTTCATTCAATGTTCTTGTGCTTTTGTGTACAAGCCAAATGGCCACTTTCCACCAAGCAATATGCACTACTAAAATCAGTTATATATTTGATTTTTTTATCATTATTCATAATTTTATGGTATTATGCATGGAGCAATCAAGTGAACGCATTCTTCTAAAAAGGTTACAGCCTTTGTTCTTGATCCTTTCCAAGTCCACTTTAGTTTTCCGTATATGACAGTTAGGTCCACTTGAACTACACATCATTTTCATGAGCACTAATTCCAGTACGAGGCACGTAAATCAAAGAAGTTCAATGGTTTATAAACTCTGATCGCTAATATTTATTTAGTGGGCTCTCTTATTAACATGGCATAGTATAATTGAGTGAGGGAGGAGTTATGGTGGGAGCTGTTGAACTGTTAGAGCAATCTGCTAAAGTCAGATCCATTTATATGCTTGTAGTTTGGCAAATATATTCCCAAGTATGTTGTAAAGCTAGAACTTTAGAGACATGTTAGTCATGTCTATGCGATCATTTTGTTGTTAACCTGCAATATCAACCTCCACAAGGGTCGATGTTGTATAAGAGCCAGACTTACATTTCATTTAAACTCAACAAACTCGATGACATGCAGAGTACACGGCATTACACCCATTTTGGATACACCTATCATCAATTCAATTGCATCCTATGGCAGACTTCAACATGACAAATGCAGTGGAAAGAATTGAACAAATAATATATCATGCTTTGACAAACAAAACATCGAAACTACGTTTGATGTTATGCAAGTTGTATTTTTTCTTGATACCTCAAATGCCTCTGTGTAATTAAGAAGAAACTGGAACTTTCAATGAATGTGAAAGTTTGCAACTGCACAAAATTTATAGCTAAATTGAGTTTTTGAGATTGGTATTTAACAATCCAGGATGCTATCCTGATTTCTAGGTTATACATGAGAGGCATAATACAGGAGATGCCAATAACTAACTATACTTGATCATTGTGGGGAAGTTGAACCTAGTCTGATGGATGCACAATATACTTGAATTATCTCTCTTAAAGATTGTGTGGAACCCAGTCTGATGGATGCACAAAATACTGATTTGTCTCTCTTAAAGAGCGTTGGCTGCTTGGCTTATGAAGGTCTGAAGGTGTTATGCGTCTAAACCTGTAATCCAGTATCTTATACAGTGAAATGGATGTCGCTGTAATCAATGAACTCTCAAACTTAAAATACCTTAAAAGTTGTCTCAGTGCACTCACGTACTGTTGCCTTGCCACTGTTGAACCTGAAAAATTGGTTGCAAGATAATCATGACCTCCACAACATTGCAGATGGTGCATGCATATTGTGTATTGACCAGTCATACTATGTGAAAAAAGACTACGATTAAGTTGTATCATACTATGTGAAAAACTACTATGATCAAGTTGTATTGAAACTTGTCTTGGCTTTGGGGGCACATTAGACAAATCATTAAAAAACAGAGATGTAAATCCTCTCTAGTCATGCCATGAGTCATACTTAGCGGCAAATATTGGATAATTGGAATCCTGATAGGGACTGTTTTCTTCACAGAATGCCCCACTAAAGCTCAAGAAGTTTGTTAGATCTAATTCAATGTGGATTTGAGTTATGGAAAACTCCAACATTCCCATTTTTATTGTTCTAACCAAGATCTCTATAAACAATGTGGAAAACCTAAATGGGCATGGGATTTAGGCATCTTACTGATCCCTTGGATCTAACTATGGTCTATTTTCCTATATCATTTTGCTGGTTCTTACTTAAACCCAACCCTTCACATCCTAGATGTGAAAGTTTACTAGAGGAATGAATGGACAGAAACACCTACTTTCTGCATGGTAGCAAATTATAAGAGTGTGGATTACCCTTTCCCTTTTTGACGTGCATGATCTTTAAAGAAAGGGTTTCTTATCCCACCATATTGAATAGCGATATACTATCTCACTTGAACCGTTTAGTGTTACTTAACCATAGGCATGGATCTCTATTTCCCCTATCAGGGGCAAAGTGCATCCAAGCTATCAACAAACAAACCATGCAATCAAATTGGTGATTTCTCACTGTCATATCTCAGGGGTCTTGAAGCACTAGAAGCCTTGGCATATCTTACTAAGGAGAAGACATGGGGACTTCTTCACAAACAGTTGTTTGAGGAGGAATGGAATACATAGTGCACAAACTCTTGGTTTCTAGTCTTTTGTATTTCAAATTTTTCTTCTTTTTATGCAAAGCAACAATAAAAAGAGAGGGGGGGGGGGGGTACGGCTGTATTTTGTAGCCACTTAGATGAAAGGATTTTACCAAGAGATAGACATGCACACAATATTTGAGATTCTGTTCACTCTTATGAGAAATCGTTATTAGCAATTTTCAGTTCTCCGTGGTCTCCATGCTAACTAGAAGTGCAAACCTACACTTATCATTTCACTTGGGGAGGGTAGGGTGGTTTGCAAGTCCCTCTTGATCAGTTGGGAGCTTGACCACCTTGACCTCCAATGCTTCTGGTGCTCAAATGGGAGTCACGGGTAACACCCACCTTCAATATACCTCCATGACCCGCATAGTTCTTTGTTGCACTGGAGGGGACACGAATGCCTATTTCAAAGTAGACTTGTTTTGTTTTTGTAGAAGATAGGTATGTTTTTTTTTAAAGGACTGTGCCTTTTGTTTCTATAGAAGAAAGAGCAGTATGATATGAGTAACATTGCTTGCTATGAAACACCACTGCTTTTTTTGATGAGCATGTGGCACTTTCCCATTGTAGCAGTAACATGTCTTGACTTTCCTGTTCATGTGTATAGTAGAAATCTGTTCTAGTGTTTTGAACCATGGACACGGGTCAGGACTCATCAGGCTTCCCAGCCCGTGTTAGGCAACTCGACTCAGCTGTGGCCTAGTGAGACATGGCCAGGTCTTAAAAAATTAACAAAAAAATGTTGGGAACCTGCAAGACTTGGCCGGTTCCCAAGGTTTTGCCTCAGATGGCACACCGCTGAGGCCAAGTCGAACTCAGTGAGTTTAAATCACTGATCATTCAATGAGACCTTCGGCTACCAATAATATAATGTGTCCCTCTCTCATATGTATGTTGCTCTCTCTCTCTCTCTCTCTCTCTCACACACACACACACACACACATGCTTTCTCAACAAATAATATTTTTGGACAAACAATATGTACGTGGCTCTCCTAGGTTGTGCTGCATCAGTCAATAAGATTGCCTACCTATGAGCATGCTTGGTTTTCTTATAGCATATGTGTGCACGTGATTTAATTCACAGTCATATGCTTAGTCAAAAAAGACTTTTAACTCCTCAATAACTCATTTGCCAAATCCTGATTTGTTCTGAGACTTTCATTTTCTTGCCCAGGATGCTGCCGAAAATGCAAAATCGTTGTCACAGTACAGGTCTTTTGATAATGTTGGCCGGCGTGAGATATCTCGGCCACCAGTTCGCAGCAAAAGCATGTTATCCGCACTGTTCACAAAGCACAAGTCTGCAAAGATAAAATTGGGTCATCCTGCGTGATCGATTCAATTAAGGTGGGAGTAGAGCTAATTCATTTGTCATTTCAAAGGTGTTCAGCATTTTTGAACTTTTAATGTAGCATTTCTAGATGACCAGATCCTTGTTTACATGTATTATGGTGGAATGCCTTTGCTTTAAATAGTTCTACTCTGTGTGTGTGTGTGTGTTTTCACTTTTCACATATAAATGCATGCATACATCATACAGGCCCACACCATTTATTTGTGGTTGAATATCTTGTGCACCGGTAGCCCTTTAAATTTTCACTTCTATTGGTTAGTCATTACTTTACGACTATCTATTTCCAGTTTATTAGAATTTATGCATTTCATTTGCATATGTCTGTCAGATACGAGGCTATGGATATTTGTTTTCTTTCTATACAAAGTTAGATGGAAATTTTTCTCGTACTTCAATGGTACAAGTTCGAGAGATTTTCTTGGACCTCGATGTCACACTGCGATGGCCTGATTTCACATGACAGCCAGGAATCATCCTTCTTGTTCCAGAATTAGATGATATCTATGTATGTGATGGATATTGTTCATGTATGCATTCATCCATGCACGTGTGCACGTGGTTTGCATGCGCATGAATGCTACCATAATGATATCCGTCTATATATGCATGCAAGTTAACTTGATCACTTATATGTAATGTGCTTACAGTCTAATGTTCATTTGGTGCTTGATGTCATACCCCCATGAAGTGCATGTATAGATGTTATGCGTGAGTGTTTTTGTGGCGTAAGAGCATGAGAGACAGTTTTTGATGTGGAATTTGATTGGGGGCACAGAGAGGAATTTAATAGAGGTTTTGTTTTTTAGTAGTTATTTTAGTAGAGAGAGAGAGAGAGAGCTTTTGCTGTGGAATTTGATGGGTGCATAAGAGAGGAATTTAATAGGGGGAGAGTTTTTTTTAGAGAGTTTTTTCTTTTTAGGGGGAGAGAGAGAGCTTTTGCTGTGGAATTTGATCGGGGGCACAGAGAGGAATTTAATAAGGCGAGGAGAGCTTTTTTTTTTTTGGGTTAATGGGCAGGGAAAGAGGCCCTTTCCAGTTTCATTGAGGAAACAAAATTGGTATATTAATTAGAGACACTTCGAAAAGGATAGTTGCTATAAGAGAGTGTTTTTAGTATTGAAGTTCATAGTTCGTAAACAGAGTTGTCATCGTTGAAGTTTTTTTTCAACTAATTAGGGTCGGCTATATTAATTTTGAACTGTCATTCCTTTATTCAGAACTATTAACAGTTATATCCTTAATGTGGAATTTGACAGATAGATTTAAAGTGGAGTTTGTGTATATGTGAGAGATTAATGTGGAATTTTATAGGGGGTAGAGAGAGAAAAAGTGAGTTTTAATGTGGTATTTGGCAGAGAGAGAGAGAGTTTAATGTGAGTAGAGGTAAGGTGCACTTTCAAATTTTATTATGCTATATAATTTTGATGTAAAATGTTTTTAGGATTATCTCAAAATTTATTTTTATATTTAATTATAAATTTTTAAATTTTAAAAATGGTTAAAATCAAGTAGATTTATAAACATATGAAAATCTTGAAAATGGACAATGTAGATAATATGTTGTAAAATGTATTATTTTTTAGACTTCAAATCTTTTTATTTTTCATGGTCATGCGAGATGATCAATCAAAAGGTTTTTAACATTAAAACTATCTTTTCTGATGGATTTTTGAGGTGCATCTGTAACTGTAGTGGTAAGGTTGCTAACTTTATATCAACTTTTTCCTTTCCAAAAAGAGCATCTCTCCGAAAAGTGTGGGTTCACAACATTCCCATGGAGTATATAGTACATGGTACTCCTGTTGAACATCGCCACCTTTGTGCTCCTGTAATGGATGTTAGTGATCCATGTCGGGAGCATCATGGACTTGTCTGGTTACAGTGTACTCCACCGCATTTAATGAGAAATGGATGGTGGATGTCCCTTTGCACTTCAGTGTACTCCATTGGAGTATTGTATATTTTATCCAAAAAGGTGGGCTGAAAATGTAACTGGCTGTTTGTGGTTCATGTGGTCTGCTTTCATATTGTACCCTTTGTTCTATTCTTTTTTGTTGGTATGTGATAAAGGGTGAAGTAGCATACGGCGGCGTTGGCATTATAATAAAAAGTAAAATCGCATCTCAAAATCCACTAGAAAATGGAATTATGTTATAATAAAGTTATTACAACATTAAATTTGCAACCTTTGTACCTATATGAAAAGTACAATTTTAGTGTTGGGAGCCTTGAAGGTTTTTTAGACTTCAAATTGTTCTCTAAAGTACTTTAAAGATAGTGTAGATCTGGCGAACTTATAAGTACTCCAAGCCAATTATTTTTGGTGCATCAAATCCTACACCAAAACTGAATCTTGAACTAAAAACTAAATGGTGTGGTTTGTATAAGGTTAAAGCTCTAAACAATCAGAGTAAGGCGTGCATTCAAATAATATTGAAATATGTTGTTTTAGTATCAGAAATATTTATGATGGCATGAAAATTTGATATCTCGTACATTCTTTTTTATCTAATTTCAAACTGCTCATCATTCTTTTGATCAAATTTCAAATAACCCATGAATTGACAAATCAAAATGGGTTTTGAAATTTGATCCCCATTTCAAAGTATCATTTGCCCAAATACTTCTTCAACACCATTGTCGAAAAATACCTAAAAGGCTAAAATGCGCCTATTCTAGTTTTAAGATCCTCAACAAGCAGGGCATTATAATAACTTCAAGGGACAAGCCAAATGAGATAAATATTGTGCTTATTATTGTGGGTTCGAACCCACTCACAACATTAATTTTTATTAAAATCTCTTCCTGGATTTAGAACACAAAAAATTGCGTCATTTGGCTTAAGTGGCAAAATTATTCCGGCCTGTTTGTGGCTTTGAACTCGAAATGATCCTTATTTTTTTAATTAATCTCTTGTTATGGATTTTAAATAATCTAGAGCAAAAAGGGGTATGTTGCTAACTTGGCCTCCCTTGTATCATGATACCAGAACATTGCTGCTTGTTAAGGCTTTCAAACTTTGAATAACTGTATTTTGGGCATTTTTTTTAATGAAAGTATCGAAATAAATATTCTTAAGTAAAATGTTACAATAAATACTCTATTGATAAATAATTAATTTTCGCGACTCAACAATTACCTTTTGGAAAAAATTTATATAAGAAGGCAGCCTTATTTATAAAAGGAAGTTTGTAGTAATCTATAGCACCTATTTTAGTTGGGATTACATTGTTTTAAAGATGTGTAAGATTTCAATGATATCTTAAAATATGTACTAAATCTATACTATATAACTAAAATAAAGGGTGTAGAATGTAATGGACAAACTTATATAAGCAAAGTTATTGCTTATATAAACAACACCCTTGAGTCTCCGTTGGTTTTGTCATCTTTTGCAATAAAAAAAATTAATAGGAATAATACAATACCATCTATCTTTGGTACAAAAAAAAGTTACGATCACCCATAGCCATAAGTTAAAACCTGAGAGCTTAAAAAGTGTGGTAAACTTAAAAAAAAAAAGTACTTTAAGCATGGTTAATGGCACACCTCTCGTCACCCATTTTTACGTCCGATTGTCAAAGTCAATTGTGTTTTCCTCTTACAAATATAACTAATTTTAGGGTGGGGTTTGTATAAAATACCTACCTTATACTGTAGAAGTAAGGTGTGCCTCAAAATTTTGTTTGAAGATGCAATTTCAGTGTCGGAAACCTTATGATGGCTTGAAAATTTATTTTTATATATAGTGACGAAATCAAAATTTCAATAATGACATGGATTGATCACATCTATAACGGTGTCAAAATCTTGAAAATAGACTATCCAAATAATTTTTATAAAATGTATTATTTTTACGGCTTTAAATTCATTTTTTTATATCGATACATCTCAAGGTCTAGATGATCAATTGGCCAGTTCTCCAATATCGGAACACTTTCTTTTAGAGGATTTTTAAGGTGCAACTTACTTTAACAATGTAAGATTGCAACCCTATATAAATCCTTTTTCATAATTTTATTATATACTTTTCATTTTTAAGGAGGAAAAAGTTCATATAAGTTTGCAATTTTATACCGTTGAAGTGAGGTGTAGCTTAGAAATCCTCTAGAAGAAAGTGTTACACATTGGAGAACCCTCTAATTGATCATCTCGGTCCCAAGATGTGGGGACATAAATATTTTTTTTTAAAATATATTGAGTTTTATAATGAGTTGTATAGACAGTCTATTTTGAAGATTTCCAAGTATTTAATAATTTGCTCCATTTGTACTATTTTTAAAATTTAGAACTAGAGATAAAAATATATTTTTAGGACGGCATAAAGTTCCCAACACTGGAACTACATCTCCAAGTTAATTTTAGAAGTGTGCCTTATTTCTACAGTATATGGAGGGAGCATTATACGAAACTTGCGATGCAATACATTTTTTATACATGGGGCATTTTAATGACGGACTCAATTTCTATACGGCCAAGCCTGCATATGTAGAAATGCAGGTCTCTTAATAAATCTATTTTTGAGATGGATTTTAAGACTTAATTTTTAATGATACATAGTCTCTAATATGAAGATCATGAATGTAAACAAATAAATTTTAAAAACTAAAAATAATAATTGTAGTAAGAAATCATTACGATCGTTAGTTTCCATTGTTTGTAGATCGAACACCAAGATGGATGCTTTACACTTTTTCTGGACTGCATATGTAGCAGTGCGGTCCAGCCCGCATGAAACAATTTTTCCTTTAATCTTTTTCCCTCGTGATATCTCACAAACTGCTGGCGTATCTCAGTTATTTATTTGAAAGACTTGGGACATTTTCGTCAATTTTTCCATTTGCACGTCCCCCTCTATAATTCGTTGTCCTCTCTACAATAACTTTGTCAGCCATTCTGTGGTAGAGAGAGGAGTGGAAGAGATTTTAGAGAGAGAGTGTCCATTCGCTAGAGAGAGAGGGTGTCCATTCGCTCTCTTCAATTTCTGGTTTTAGAGAGAGAGAGAGAGGGAGAGGGAGAGAACGATCTGCTTGAAAAATAAAGATTTTCATATTTTTGATCGATAAAATTAGGAAGAACCTCTTATTGTTATAATTCAATAGGAGGGGGGATTTCTCTTTTTCCTGATTCCTTGAACTGAGATTTGAGAATCGCGAAAATGAACGATGCGGATGTGTCGAAGCAGATCCAACAGATGGTCAGATTCATCCGCCAGGAAGCGGAGGAGAAAGCAAATGAGATCCTTGTATCTGCTGAAGAGGTATTTTTCTCTGATTTTTCTCATTATTCCATTTTTTTTTTTAACTTTACTTTGTATAGTGGTTTATTTTTAATCGAATTTTCTGCTTTCTGTTATTTTTTTATTTACCTTTTAGCATATATTTCTATGAGAAGTTATTCATTATTTTTTTCTGTTATTTAGTCCTGGATCCGTTTTTTCTTTTTCTTTGAGTTTGGGTACTCAAATCCTTATCCGGAAAGCGCTTCGGGCAGTGGAAGTCTCCGTGATGGCTCGAAAATCAATTTCCAACACCAACAATGAAAACACCTACAATGAAATTCGAAACTTAGAAAATGGTACAGATCTTGCGGATCTATGAACACTTATTTTTAGGAAGATAACACTATTTTTAGGGCTTAAAATCCCTGTCATGTTTTTTTACAACCATAATGTTTGACTCAAGATTATCGATGTAAAGGTTTTCTAATGCTTGAATTGCAATTTTTGATGAGTTATGAAGTGAGACTTGACTTATTTTGATAGGGCTGTAGCCCTATCAAACGATTTTCAATGGTTATTTTCTTCTTTTATCATATTTATTCTCGCTTATTACTCTTATGTAAAAATTCTCTGTACATATCCGGCCTGAAAACCGTTGCTATAGGAATAGTTGTTCTCACTTTCCTTCTTGCTCTTTACTCTTATGTAAAAATTCTCTGTACTTATGGGAGTTTTTTGCTTTAGATTTATACTTGTTTCTACTTGGAAAAAGTAAATTGTTAATCTTAATAAGTTTGCTTCTGTTTATTTTTCATTAGTTATTCATAATTCTGCCGTAGAGAGAACTAGATCGAGAATCCTGTTGTACCAATTTAGGAATATTTCTTTTTCTTTATAAAAGTTAAGATTTTTTTTGTTTTGGATAATTTCTTTGTTGGGTGCTAGATATTTATTAAGTTAAAAGAAATTATGAAGCCTAACCCTATTTGGTGGGACCAATGTTCAAGAAGGCGGATTCAGCCGCCTAGGCGGGCACCTAGATACCAGGGCCGCCTGCAAAAAGAGGAGAAAAGAGAAGGAGAGAAGAAGAGGAGGGTTCTAGGCCCTTGAGGACGATATTTGGGGGGGTTCTATTGGTTACTAAACCCCCATGATTGTGTGCATAGAACATCTATTTTTTTGAAAAAATATTGTCTCACAGTTTTTATGTGCGTTATTTTATTGCACAATTTAAACTTAAAACATATCTTGAAAATTTAAATGAGTGAAAATTTACCCAAGATTCATCGATTATGTCAATTTTTCATTACAAGTCTCATAGACGAAAAATGAAAAACAATCTAGATAAGCAATAACTAAATTGAAAAGAACAACAAATCAATACCCATCATTCATAAATATCACAAAACCCCTAAACGAATAAATGAAATATACCAACCTCTTAAAACCCAATTGGACTTTGCTCGAATTGGTGACCTTTGGTCACCAAAAGACCTCCAAAACCCTGTCTGCCCCTTTTAGCAGGGAAATGATATTTTTACCCTTAGCAGAGGCCTTTTTCCTCCCTCGCTAAGGTGTATCCTTGGGCCACCTAGGCAGCCCAAGGGTTCCTAGGCGGTGGCCTAGAGACATAACCGAATAGGGCCCCATCTAGGCCCAATTTAGTGCGGTTTGCTGCCAGACCACATAGGCAGCCAAGCGGCTGAAATTTTTTATCAGGTGGGACTTTCAAATATATTAGAGCACTCTTTTCCCCTTTTTGTTGAGAGTTTTACTCTCTTTTGTCTTTCTGATTTTCCATTTTTTGAAAAGAGCATACTGATTTTTTCTTTCTTTGCTTAGTTTTATACCCACTCGTGATTTATATGTTTTTTCTCTGTGGTTGACTGGAATTGGAAACTCGGCTAGTCCAACTCAAACTCGCCTGAGTTACTCAAGTTCGAAGCCAAGACCAAGGGACTGGCCTCCTCTGGCTGGATTCCAAGGTTTTATTGTTGAATTCTTTAAGCCTCTGTCAACTCTGACAGATTGTGTCAAGTTGCCAGACTCAGGGTCAGGACCCTAGTGAGTCCCAACTGAGTCCTTGCTCTAAAACACTGTTTGGGTGTGAGCCCTAGCTGTATTTCTCTTTGACAGATTGTGTTGTGTTGCCTGATGGGTTAGGACCCTAGTAAGTTCCGACTATGTCCTTGCTCTAAAACACTAGTTGGGTGTGACCGTGTGAGCCCTAGATGTAAGTTTCACTAATTGTTAGACCTTGACATTGCTGGTGATGGATAGAAACTATGATGTGTTTGATAGGGCCTGTACTATATTTTTTCTTTTGAAAGTTTAGCGTGCTTCGTTTTTTACCCATTGACCGACTCTTCCCTCCTCCCCCATAAAGCAAAATAAAAAATAATTTTTATCCAGTTAGGTGAAACCATGGGATGGTAGAAGTTTAAACAGAGATGAGGTTGTTTGAGTTCTTAATTGCTTTGGTTTGTGAAAGAGAAAGTAAATTTTGTTTCTGCTTTGGTTTCTGGTTGCACGTTCCCAAGCTCTATGTATATTGTTCGTGCTTGTGTCTAATTCTTTTCTTCTAAGAATTGTATTCTTGAATTTATCATCACCCATCAAAAAGAAAGAAAAGAAATTGTATTATTGCCATTGAACATTTTTGCTATATTATACATGTCCCTATATTTTCTAAGTTTGAAAATTAATCCTTTTCTTGAGAGCATGTGCCTTTTCTACCACAAAACAACTACTTTTGAATTCCTTTTTTTTTCTTCCCTTTTTTCTGTTTTTGGTAATACCTGCATTGTATTGGACTCATAGAATAGTTAATCATTAGCATCATCTGAGCCTTATCCCACCTAGCTGGGGTCGACGGACTCATAGAATAGTGGTGTTACATAAATTGGTGTACAACTAAATTTCTGTATACAAAAAAGAAATGTATCTGATGTCAACTTGTCGAGACAAAATTCTCTATGCTACTTTTAAAGTTTAAACTCTATTAGGTACATTTTACCAATTCCAATGTTGACTCAAACTGTCTTGAGTCAGCTTTTAGTGTCACGTGTAACATTTTATTTGATAATGAGACCGTTTCCTAAAGCCTTGTTTTTTATTGATTCTATTAACACTATATCAATTTAATGCATCAACATCCTTATCATGGATTGTACATTTGCCTGAATATACTTGTTATTACTATTTTCCTAGTGAATACAAGAAATTGTCTGTAGCGTTATGTGCCTTCTCATTTCCTTATATTTTTATTTGTCAAGTTTTAGTTCACTGGTATCCCCTTTTCTATTTGGTTGTTCTTGCTGCAGGAATTCAACATCGAGAAGCTTCAATTAGTTGAAGCTGAAAAAAAGAAGATCAGACAGGAGTATGAACGTAAGCAAAAGCAGGTCGAAATAAGAAAGAAAATGTGAGTGAATTGCTTTAACCACCCTAATTTTTTTCTGGGTACCTGTGTAAAAGCATAATTTACTAATCAAGTTCTGCTTTGTTAGTTAAGTTCTGCTAAGGTTTATGGGATATTTGTTTGCAAAATACTATTTCAAGAGGCTAAAATTTGAGACTGTTAGGAAAATAACCTAAGGGAAACCATTGATGTGGTGAGTAAAAGTGCTATACCATTGCTTTTTTTAGGAGTGAAAGTAATATACTGATAAGTAGGGCAGGCTCAAAGGTATAACAAAAATAAAAGAGTGTTGTTGATATTTTAGCAGGAGAAGCTTGTCTTGTTACTGTACCTCTCTAGGTTTGAGATCAGGAGATCCATCTTTCTGAGTTATGAACTCTATATTCCAAATTATCAAATAAATACTGAATAATTATTTTGGTTTCCAAGTGTAACAAAGGGAATGAGGGAGCAAGAACCTCAGATTTTGTGATGTGTTTACGAGATTTAAAATTAAAACTAAGTACAAGAGGCAGAATCACACACACATTCAATATAGCTATCCGTGCACCACCATACTCCAGTGGATTTCCACCTTCTTGTCATTTTCATTGCATTTGTCTTTTATCAGGGCATTTTTTGTTTAGATGCACTTTTAAAGAAAGGATTTTCACTTTTGTTGACACTTTTTGGAACTGGTATTACAGTGAGTATTCCATGCAGTTGAATGCTTGTCGCATTACAGTTCTTCAAGCCCAGGATGATTTGGTTAACTCTATGAAAGATTCTGCTGCAAAGGAACTTCTGTGTATCTCGGATGACCACCACTCATATAAGAAACTCCTCGAAGATTTGATTGTTCAGGTTGCACTCTTTCAGTTCATAATAGTTTATGTTCATTTTCTTTCTTTCCTTTTGATTGTAAATGTTCATTTTCTTCATTGCACAAGAATTGTAACTGGACTGTTAACCTTTTTGAAAATTTTGAAGCATTCGTTATTTTCTAAAAGGATCTGAGAATCGAAAGTGTAAAGAAATTGTAAGCAATGTCCCAAATGCTCTTCCATAATTTGGTAACTTGCACGGTCGTGAATCCAATTCCATATATGTAGAGGGGACAGTTGTGTTCCTGGTTTTCCAATGCTCAAGGAATAGCGGAAATGCTATTTTCTCTTTCTTTTTAACAACAAGAAAGCCTTTTAAATGCCCAAACTCTTCCCCATCTTCTGACAGGACTTTTGACTGCCGTCAATTTCTCTCGTTCTCTCTCTCTCTCTCTCATACATGTGCACTTGTCATGATAACCTAAACAAGTACTAACTTTCTGAAAGCAACCAATTCCCAAGTATCTCAAATTCGCTCTTGCTGACTGCTTTTCACAACTGGAATTTTATTCGTATTATCAAAACTGTCATTTTGGGTTATCTTCAAAATCAAAACTTCTATCTAATTCTCTTCCTGGTATTTGTTCCCCCAACTGTTTTTTTTTTTGGGTTTGCTTTCTTTTTGGAATAACTAGCATTATCAAATGCTTGGCAGCTGAAAGATGCATTCCATGCCACGTTTTCAGGGTTTGCTGCGTTTGAAGGAGCCATCAATATTGCTTCGATGCAGAGAGACTGATCTTGGGTTGATTGAGTCTGTGTTGAATGACGCAAAGGAAGAGTACTCAGAGCAAGCAAATGTCCATGCCCCTAACATCGCTATTGACAAACGTGTCTATCTTCCTCCACCTCCAAGCCATCACAAGGCACATGGCAGTTCCTGGTAATTTCTTACACTGGACAACTTTGACATTTTTGAAATATTTGAAAGAATTTCTGTTTATGCTTTAGAATTTCCATTACTACATTTTTTGAGGAAGTATAGATTCAAAATATATTTTCATATCGATAATTTTATATTTGATAGTTGTAAGTTTGTTGTTTCCTCAAATAATTTATATAGATTCAAGTAGTTGTTTCCTCTAAAAAAAAAAAAAAATTTGATAGTTGTAAGTTTGTAATTGATGGAGTCAATGGAAACCTGATTTCACTCTGAGTGTGCATGCAGCACGTGGACACGAGGGAAACTATATATTGAGTTGCAATGACTATTTCGTTTCTTATTTTCTGTTAGTGGTGGCTTTCAACCATATTACATGAAGGCGGTAGGCAATGGTTCGATTTTCTATTATTCTATTGTTATCTGTTGCTAAAGAAAATGTTAGACTCATTTTGGAGATTAAGGATGAGTCAAGTTTCGATCGATTAGTTAGAATGGTGGTTGCAGAAGGTGTTTAGGGGCAAGGAACACTAAATATCGTTAAGTTCGTGCAAGTCTTGCACGGACTTAAGGTGTTTAGGTTTTCAGGGCAACTATATGGAGGTCAATTGTTAGCAGTGTTCAAGATGGTGGACTTGGGTTTCAACCGGTCTGGGACTCGAGGCTGAGTCCCCCAGTCTGTCTTGGGCAAGTCCTAGTTGGATTGGGCAATTTATGATGTGAAAATTTTAAGATTTTTTTCAATTATGAAAAAATCGGGAGACTTGGGTGATTCCAGGGTTTTTGAGCCAGAATTTCCTGGCTCCAAAACCAGGCAGACTGGGGCAAGTCCCATAGCTCGCAAATTTTTTAAACACAGATTATTAGAGAGATTGCTGCTGGTGGTAGAGTGGCTTGGTGACCTAAATTAAGGATCTTAAGGTGACTTAGGTTTCACATTGATGGGTGGTTTTGATTAGTTAGATTTTTCATAGGTGCATTTCTGCACTTTATAAATAGGGCGAGGAGGATATAGAGCACCTCCTGTTCAGATTATTTTTGCAATTTTTGTTACCAGCATTCCTTTTTTCTCATCTATTTCAATCGAGAAAAATTCCTCTTTTTGTATTCATGGAAGTAATGTTTTGTTTTTTCCTTTAAATAACTTTAGTGCCGGAGGTGTGGTGTTGGCTTCACAAGATGGGAAGATTGTATTGGAAAACACACTGGATGCAAGACTCGATGTGGTTTTTCGACAGAAGTTGCCTGAGGTATGTTGAATCTTTGAAAAAAATAAAAAGAAGAAGAGAGAAAAACTTAATTGATTATTTTGAAAATGAGAAGAAAACTTTTCTTTTTTGTGAATTTCAACATGAAATAATGGGAAATGTGAATTTCAACATGAAATAATGGGAAAGTTTTTTTTTTAACTGACAAAAGAGATAATTTTAGGTATATAATTAATTATCAAATAGAAGGAAAAAATTGGTTCAAGCCCGTTGCTCAATTGGCAGTTCCTACTTGTCACAACCTTGTGGTTGTGGTTTTTAGCCCAGCACCTAGTGAAAAGAACAAAAAGAAAAAAGAAAATGTAGTGATTGATGCAAATTTGATCAGAGGGTATTGCCAAAATGCTTCTGATTTTTCAAATCTGGCAAAATTAGAACTGGTTTCACGAATTAGCATGCAGTAGAGAATGATGAGATTGGTGTTGGTACCGAAGGTCTGAGATTCTTAGAAACAGAGATATGGATGATGAACAATAAAATTGTGTGAGAAACACCATGCTATGAAATTTGGATATTCAGCTGCTTCAATATACATTATCATGTATGTATGTGCTATTTAGAGCCAAAAATCATTGTTTTTCAAACATTGATCACTTGTTGAATTGTGATGTGATTTGAAAAATTCCTAGTCATAAAACAACCCAACTAGGTGTTTGCCGATGGGACTAGTGTACAATTCGGTCCACAGTAGGACCACTAGCTCCCCAATCTCGGTAGAAAAAAAATGTCTGTGCGGTTGTTATTTTTTGAATAAAAAGTGTCAAATATATATCATCCAATTAAAATGAATGATATAAATTATTGTAATTTTTTTCTTTGAAAATGTTAAATTATTGTAATTTTTTTCTTGGTATTAAAATATATATCCTTTACTCTTATGTGCAGATCCGAAAACGCCTTTTTGGGAAGGCAGCGGCATGATGCTTTAGTCTATTGCAATAAGGATTTGTGTCGTATTCTCCTTTTAATATTTGTTCCAAATTTTTTGATACATTGTTTGGGCTATTTCCTTGATGAGTTTAAGTTCATATGGAGAGTTTATATTTCATTTTGAATTGGAATAAATGAGTACTGGTATAAAACGAGTTACTTTATGGGAGATTAATGGTTTGTTATGATATGGAAAAAAAAAGAGTAAAAAATGATGGAATACTTAGAAACAGTGTTTAAAAAAACGTCGAGTAGAACTGGATTCGTCCGGTTCGATTCGGGAATCACCATGGACGGATCGAATCGGCGAAAAAAACGGGAATCGTCCGATTTTAGAGGAACCGGACGATTTTGTACAGTGACTCGTCGATTTACTATTTATTGTACGGAATATTTTTTTATTTTTTTTAAAATTTTTTTTGTAATCCATGATAGATTTTTTTGTAATATTTGATCGATTTTTTTGTAATCCATGATCGAATTGTTTTTTTTTTTTTTGTAATCCATGATCGAATTTTTTGTTTTTTTTTTTTTTGTAACCCATGATAGAATTTTTTGTAATCCATGATCGAATTTTTTGTAATCCATGATTGAAATGTTTGTTTTTTTTACTGTAATCCATGATTGAATTTTTTGTTTTTTGTTTTTTTTTTGTAAACCATGATAGAATTTTTTGTAATCCATGATCGAATGTTTTGTAATCCATGATCGAAATGTTTGTTTTTTTTTTGTAATCCATGATCGAAATGTTTGTTTGTTTTTTTGTAATCCATGATCGAATTTTTTGTTTTTGTTTTTTTGTAACCCATGATAGAGTTTTTTGTAATCCATAATTGAATTTTTTGTAATCCATGATCGAATTGTTTTTTTCTTTTTTTGTAATCCACGATCGAAGTTTTTGTTTTTTTTGTTTGTTTTTTTTTGTAATCCATGATCGATTTTTTTTTGTAATCTATGATAAAAAATTTTGAAAATTTGTGATTTTTTTTTTTAATCCATGATCGATTTTTTTGAAAATTTGTTATTTATTTTTTTTAATCCATATTATTCAAAGAGAAAATGATAGAGATGATGATTTTGAGGCCATTGTTATCCCAGCCATATTATTCACATATCGAGTCCCAATAGTAACAGTGTAGGGATGAGCACGACAGTGCAGGTGAGCATAAAGGATGGACAATCTTTGGATTTGGGAATAGTCAGACGTCTGTTAATATCGATGATTCGTTTTTAGATCGAATCAATGAATTGTTAAACGAATTCAATCAATGGCACCAGCGTGATCAAGAAGAGCAATAACGTCGTCTATCATTTTATTTTTAGATCATATGTTATTAATTTTATGCTTTATTGTAGTGCATGTATGTTGATATACTTATTTCATGATAATTATATGTTTATCCTTTTGTGTGATGTAAATTAAATGCTGAATGGCGATTCATGCAGGGAAAGAACATATCAATATTCGTATATTCATTCAAAAACATGAAAATTCTTAATGGAGGACCTTCATTTCTTATTGAATTCTTAAAAAATAATATTTATAATAAATTTTAATATTTTTTTCGGATTTTTTTTAAGCTTTATTTCGACCGATTTTCGATTCGGATCGTCGATTCACCGATCCGGATGGGTTTTTTGAGAACCCGATCCGAGTCACCGATCCGTTTTTTAAACCATTGCTTAGAAATAATAAAAGGTGTGGAATGACTTGTTGGAATTCAGGTCTATACACAATGTGGTTCCCAACGGTCATGAGGTGATCACGAGGTTATAGCCAACTAGATGATGATGAAGGACAGTGGGTCCCACTAAGCAATTCAATTGAGAGTACCTACTATCTCTTCATGATCCGACGGTGGTGTTAGTTTGTTGCAAGTTATATTTTTCTTGGACCCCGGTTTCTATGCAGCCAAGCCCATGTGGAAATGCCAGCCTAATAAAGGTGCAGTTGTCATTAGATCCATACGTCGCTGTAGAGGTAAGGTTCACCTTCAAATTTTATCATCCTATATAATTTTGATGTAAAATGTTCATAAGATTTTATCAAAATCTATTTTTTATCAAAATCTATTTTTTTATATCTAATTATAAAATTTTAAATTTGAAAAATAGTTAAAATCAAGTAGATTTATAAACATATGAAAATCTTGAAAATTGACGGTGTAGATAATATGTTGTAAAATGCATTAGTTCTAAGACTTGAAATCTTTTCATTTTTCTTGGTCATACATCTCAATGTTGCGATGATCAATCAAACTGTTTTTAAACAGTAAAACTACCTTTTTCGATGGATTTTTGAGGTGCATCTGTAGTTCTGCATATAAGGTTGCAGCTTTATATAAACTTTTGTCTATTAATAACTATATTTTTGAGATGGAATTTTGGACTTAATTTTTGAGGACATGTAATCTCTAACATGGAGATCATGAAAATGAAAAAATAAGTAAATTTAAAAACTAGAAATAATAATTCTAGTAGGAAAACATTTGGACCGTCAGTTTCCATTGTTTTCAGATTGAACAGCTACTTGCATCCATCTTTAGGATGGATGCTTTACACTTTTTAGATGTTCAGCCCGCATGAAACCATTTTTCATTTTTTTTCTTTCATTTTTTTTCAACTCGGTGTACTATAAAAAATATATTATTATCATCGTCATTTAAGCATTATCCTAATTATAAAAGCCTATTTGAAAGCACCAAAGTTGAATATTTTGGGAGAATGTTATGGAAATGGTTTAACCACATCAAAGAAGAACGAATTGTTGAGGTGGTTAAAGCAACCACTCATTAGTAAAGTGGGTATCTTAATGAAAAAGCTTAATGTGGATGTTCATATGGAATTACCTTCTAAAAATGCATGTTAGATATAGATTTTGGATATAAAATTTTGCGGGGTGAGTTATATTCACCATGGTCATGATTTTGAAAAAGGAAAAGGGAATTAAAATTTAAAATATGTATTATTTTAAGGAATTAAAACAAACCGTCCAAATATTTCGAAAATATAGTTTAAACATTTTTAGTTATTTATATGTTTTCCAAGAATCGTAATCATGGTGGTCAAAATTATTGACAAGCTAAATTCCATCTTTGAGATGGAGAAGGGAAGGAAGTAAATTGAATGGAGTGCGTCAACCAATGCGCCAAAAATCCGTCCTCCTTACCCTCGAAAAAGTTTATATAAGGTTGCAAATCTTAAAATATAGAATTAACGTGCGCTTCAAAAATCCACTATAAAAGGTTGTTTTGATGTTAAAAAACGCTCGAATTGATCATCTTGACTTCGAGATGTATAAATATGAAAAGAAAAAAAATTTGAGTCATAAAGATAGTATCATGCAACAAATTATCTAGACCGTCTATTTTCAAGTTTTTCAAGTGTTTATAGATCTACATGATTTGAACTATTTTTGGAGTTTAAAATTTTATAATTAATGAGTCATCCTAAGAATTTTTTATACTAAAATTATATTTATGATAAAATTTGGAGGTGCACCTTAATTTGATTGTTTAATGTTGCAACCATATACAAACCACACCCTTTGATAAAAATATCTAAAATCTCTTTAGTTATTCGACCAATTATGCTGGTGGGCCCAAATTATGAAAAAAAAATTAACTTGCGACAAGATGTTATAATTAAAAAAAACCACGTTTTGAGTTTGGAACCTGAAACTAGCAGAGTTAATATAACATCTGGCTTGGGTCATTTTCATCATTCTAAATAATGTAAGTACTCATGTTTGTTTTGGGTAATCCAAAGCAATAGATTTTAATGAAGAAACACATCTCATATTTGAATCTAAAACAAGCAAGGGGCATTTACATCTAAAACAAGCAAGGGAATTTACATCATTTCGTTCAGGTCTGGTGCAAATTATAAAACCTGCCTCAAATTGTTCAAGATTCAAATTCCAAAAGAAGGGCAACAAATCTGAAACAAAGGCATGTTAAGTGTTTCTTAAAAGAATATTAGATGAGGTATTTCTAGGTAAATCACTTTGTTCATAAAGTCGTTGATGTGACTTTTTAAGTAAATTAGTTGTATACAGTGATCATTTACCTTTGATATAAAGTGGTCACAATTATTTACGACTATCCGATGTGAAATTCAATAGATTAGATATGTTACAAAGTTCAAATTTTTTTTTTTGAAGTTTGAACTTGGTCAATGAAATAATTGTAGTAACCCAATCTCATACCCAATGGTTAAGATTAATATGACCACTTTGTACCAAAGATAAATTGTCTCATTCTATACTTTCCCTTAATATTTTTCCTAAATCTTTATAAAAAAAGTACACAATAGGACCATTTATTTTTTATACAAGATGGTCACAACCAATCTTAACCATTGGATGTGAAGTTGGGTAGCTGCATTTATTCTTTTAACTAAAATCAAAGTTCAAAAGAAATTTTTCGAGCTTTATGACAAATAAGCTATCATATTTTCACATTGAATGGTTGCAAGTAACTGTCACTTCTTTGTACTAAAAGTAAATGGTCTCATTGTATACAATCACATCTTTATATTTAACATTTTATGAAGATTTAGTTAAGAATTCCATGAAAGGGCAGTCCCAACAAACCCAGGGTAGGGATAGGCAAAAAAATAAACTATTTGGGATTTGGCATATGAATTAGTGCTCAAAAGTCTTATGTTTTGAGCTAGAAAAAAGTCAATTAGAGCCACAATATGCATGGTATAATGCCCACTTCCTTGTAGAATAGGAGCACAAAAGAATCATGATACATGGGCTGTTTGTTTTGGATTGGCAAAGATCCAAGGCAATCGACTAATGGCAACGCTCGACTCCCTTCAAAACATTTCGTTTTCTAACATTTCAAAGACCATTTTCAAATGAAAAATTATACGACAATTAATTTTTTTATATTAAGTCACAATTTATCTTTAGCTGAAATTGCGAAGAGAATATGTAATAGACCATGTACAAAGTCTAACAAAATTTATTAAAATTACTAACTCTTTGCCTGCTTGTTATCGCTATTGGTGCCCTAGAATGATTGTAACCTTTTTGTGCAGGGTAAATGATATTGTAGTACCCCTTGTCAAATATATATAATATTATATCAATACTATATTTAGAGAATTAGATTTAGGTCCAGAGAGAGAGAGAGAGAGAGAGAGGGAGCTCCATGGCCAATAGGAATGATTCGTCCCCCAAAAGCTCAAGTATCAGAGGTTCAAGCCAAAGACACCACATGAATGAGATATTTCGATAATAACTGAAGAAAATTTTACACACCCAAACCATAAAAAGGGTACAAAGTTAGAAGAGTTCAATTGCATAAAAGAAAACAAAATTTATTCGAAAGCCTTGATCTCGGGTTCCTCTCAGGAAGAAGGCATTCAACCACTCTTCTCTAACCACAGAGAAGGGCAGAGAGAGGAAGATGGAGATGATTTTCAGTGCCTTTTTCTGGGTTTTATCTCTGGCCTTAGTCTTTCAAAAGGAAAGAAACTATCAATTGGCACATTGTCTAGCCATGCAAGCATGTGACTGACACACACACACACTCTGAGAGAGAGAGAGAGAGAGAGACCTCACATGTTCTCATGAAGAACTATTGTCCAGGTTTTGTCAGTCATATTCCAATCAAGAACCTTTCTCCGGGTTTTCAATCTCTTCTTGCCTCTTTCTTTCGGCTTCCTGAAGCTCTCTTTTCTCATCCTCTTCTTCTTCCTTCTGGTCAATGTCCTCGAATTCTTTCGCGGCAGCCATGGCTTTCACAATAGGGTCTCTGAGCTCTGATATCAAACCACCTCCAACTTTATACTCTTCCTCATCGCCAATCAGAAACAGGCGCTGGTCTGGTCCAGAAGTCATGGGAACATCTACTGCAAGTAGCTTCATATCATACTGCAAAAAAGGGGAATTATACGTATTATAGAGTATTCATATGATAATGTCATTTTCCACAGAGAGAGATTTATTGCTAATGATCCAGAAAGTTAAAAACTAGAGATAAAAGAAGTTCATCGCGTGCATGCTTCTGATCCAACTTTTTCTTTGAAGATTTTAAATACGCTATTGCATCTCCCTCATTTCCATCAAACATAGAAATGATCATACTGATTTTGAATGGTTCTGTTTAGTTGCGGATGCACAGATACTTGGAATCCAGATTTGCATTGGAGTCTACAATATACAGTAATACAAGAATCTCTTTGTAGTGTATTAATGTCAGATGCTTTGGAAAACATAAATAAAATCACATAAACCAGATGCTGTAGCCGTTTCCATAGCCATATCATAAATATCTAAAAAAAAATCCAATATTGATCCAATACGACCAGTAGCTTTTTTATTTTCGAATTGATAATTATGAAAAGAGGCTTAAAATCTCTCTCTCTCTCTCTCTCTCTCTCTCTCTCTCTCTCACCCACACACACACACAAACACACAGAAGGGAAGCACACAAATGCACAAATATTACAGTCATGACAAGTTTTATCACCCTTTCCCTTTAAGCCGACCATCCTTTCTAGGCTACCAGCTCCTCGTCCTTACTTTGGGAGTGTTAGAGTTTGCCCTTTCGTTGCTCCGACTTGGTGCAAGTGGAGCTCCACCAGAAATGAAGTTTGATCACCAAACTGGTCAGAGGCAGGGTACAAATTCAGGATGATAGGTTTATGGGGTTGTGTATATTGACAAGAGATAGGAAGCACTTGATTGAAAGGAGAGTGTAATGTAATGGTGCCATATCTAAGTTTACACTGGAGAAACTAGCAGGTCTATGAGCTAGAAAGTTGTTAAGGCTATGTTTAACTGATGGAACTTTTTGGAAGGGGGAGTTCCAAGTTTAAAAAAACATGTAAGCCTGTGGAAGCCACAAGATGAAAGCATGGCATTCCAAGGGACAGTTTTTTTAACGTCAAATGACCCTCTTTCGGAAACTTCCCCATGACCCATCCATGCTAAATGATGAAAGGGGTGCAAAAGGGGGCTCCACATGTAAAACACACCTAAAGGATTTTGCAGGCAATATCACTTCAAGTAGTCTACACACCCTTATATCTTTCTATGGAAAACTTTATGGCACTGGAAGAGGTAGACATAACGAAGAATTGGTGCGAGTGGTCCATTCATGTGTTTGATAGTCAGAGGTAAGATTCTTAGGGGCAACCATCTTTAGCAGAATGAATTCCAAATCTCTCGTTTATGTGTCATCTTCAGAGAGAAAATTCATTCTTTCAGGTTTTAGGATATTTTTTAGATCTCTTCAGCAATTGCAAATAGGGAAACTTGAAGAAGCACCATTAGAATACACACAGGAGGAGTGCGAAGATGGCATCAAGGTGAATGGCTACAGCTAAGGGTGAATTTATAGTAGTAAGACTAGATGATCTGGTATCGGAATGGCAGGCCATTACAAAATAAATGACTCCTTGGCCCAACTCTATTTCTTTAATGCCAACACTGGTTGGATGTTTGGGATTCTCTTCTTCTTTTGTAGGTCTGTCTTTGTTACGATATCTTGTACCATTTATCAACCATCGACAAGAGCTAATCCTAAAAAAAGAGACCCCACTAAAGTTGAACCACAATTCTAAAATTTTGGAACTTCGAACACACAATTCTAACATAAGCTGCTCAGCGTGAAAACTAAAGCATTAGACAAATAAGTTTACCTAAAAAGGTTAAATTCCAAAGTGCATACCAAAATATTGGTATCTCCATCTATTTCCGCTGAAAATTGTTCAGATTTCAGCCAAAAAGTCACTCGGTGCAGCACTGAAGGTCCCATTTCACCCACAAAATTTGCCCAAGCATCCCATGCATGGAAAAGATAATATTGCTTTGCAAAAGAAAAGAAAAAACAATTAACACTCACCTGGCCTTGTTTCTTTTTAACTTCAACACTGACAAGCCCTTTCCTTTCAGAGCCTCGTATTGGGAATATAAGAAAACATCTTTTCCCACCAAGCCTTGGTTTGAAGCTCTTCAATCGAAGCCCTCCACCAGACATAACATAAGCTCTCACATCTGTTCCTGATAGAGGAGCACCCATGACCTCAAGTATTCCAGCTGATGTATTCAACTTCCTCATAGCTATTCTATAAACCTTATCTGGATTGATGGTAAATCGAGAACGAAGATAAAGACCCTGAAAAGATAATAAATATTAACCATCCAAGATACTTATTGGACCCATCAGACCAAAATGCAATGATTTTGCCACAATCAATAAAAGAGAACAAAAACTACCCATAAAATAATGGACAACCCCACATGAAATGAAAAGTATCGGAGTCTTAAAATAATTTGTATAAATGCATAATTCTATCTTAGCGCTAATCAACAGCTGTTTCAGCAGACTAGCATATTTTCATTGTAATTCAAATCAACTTTAATAAAACTGTTCTAACCCACGCATCTTTTGGATATAACTGAGACATGAGCATCTGCACTTATGATTGTTGTTCATTAAATATAGGGCCATGGTATGCGTCCATGCCCATTGTCTATGGTTAACTCATCGGTGATATCATACTGAATATTACTACCACAAACACCAGACTAAAATGACCAAACTTCGGTGTTCACACCTGTTAGTTCCCAACATCGAATTTTCATTACCAACAGAACATGTTAAACAAATTCGGTTGCCAATAGAATGAAAGTATTAAACAAGCCAATAAGGTTTATAACAAAATTTAAAGCTATCAAAACTACCTAGAAAAGCAAGCAGAACACCGTGAGTATACTCTTTCCTATCCAGTAGACAAACAAAGCAACACATAACTATACAAAAAAAAGGAAAATGAAGGTGTATTCCAAGCTGTTCAATAGGAGATTTAAGTCCACAAACATGAAGTGTTGATTTGTTGGCACAATGGCCTACAAGCATCTTTCATATTAGTACTAAGGCATTTTTTGAGATAGATATCATTTTGAAAGAGAGTGGATCATAGAATTTACAAGATTTCGAGCAAAGCAGGCTCATGATGCATATTACAGAAGAAAGTATGGAGCCCATCACAAAGGGCCCCACGTGTTGGCAATGGTGCAAGGAATAGCAGAACACATAGTGCACTGTGTAAAGGAATATGTCACCAAGAATTCTTGGTTGATAAGAAAAGTGCTGAGGTATATGTAGAAATGCGAAGTCAATGTGTTTATTGAGGGGCCTCTAGGTCCTTGCATTGTGTCTTTCGCCTGCAATTCTCTTTATTTCTCGTCGGTTATTATCAACAATCTTATAGAAAAAATTTCAAATACCATATGCATTGTCATTACAGAGGTCAAGTCTCTTATAATAGATCTCAAAGGTATGAACCCCAAGTTAATAAAAAACAATAAAAAATATCTTTTAAGAGTAAAACATCAAATATTGAGTGTGTCATTTCTTCACACTGATGTCTAGCGTTAAATCTTCAGAAAATTAGACAAAGTACAGTAAAAAGCCACCAGTTTCGAATTCAAGTAACTAAGTGAGTTTTCCGTTGTGGTAACCGGACTCTTTGTGATTGTCCACAAAATTAAGTTCTGATCAAACAATTAAACAATCAGCACAGCGATCCATAGTTAAAATGAAAATAGAAACCTATCATGAATAAAAAGGAGACAAGAGGAAAAAACTCCAAAATCCATAAATCAGACACATGTGATGGTACACCAAAAAGACTCCTAATCAATCTATCCAACAACCAGTAGTTCTACAATGATTTAGTAGATTAACTGAACTAAATAGAAACACATTACAAAGTAAGGACATTTGTTCGAAACTACAGTACCGATCAGTCAACCAAGCACTTGGTTCAGTGATTTAGTAACCTTAAATGAATTGAAACCAAACACAAACTTATATTCATCAATCCCCCTAGCAGTTAGTCCAGTAATATTTTAATTAAGATGAATTAAAAAGAACACACATACCAGAATAAATAAATTCATGCACAAGATAAAGTGGTAGTCAATCAACCAAACAGTGATTTCAGTGTCCAGTCACAATCTTAAAACACAAAAATTGACTAGACTGAGCACTTACTGTGAAGGCAACAATTGCAGATGCAAGAGCAAGAAACCCATATTTGGCCATGCCTTCTGAGAGCCCAACAAACATACTAGCTATCCCAAACATAACTCTCCAAAGCAAAATGCAAACCCCAAGACCAAACGCTCCAAGCAAAACCAAAGAATTCCTCTTCCAGAAGGCCTCCATCTGAAGGCCCACAGCCTCTGGATACCGAGAAAAGGTCGAACCAATGGCTGACAATGGCTTATCAAAAAACTTAGACAACCCAGCATTCACCTTACCAGAAGACCCTAAACTGCCAAATGAGAAAGACCCAATTCTGGGTTTCAAAGAAATAGGCCTGAAATCCATTAAAGCAAGCTTTTGAGGAGGTTTTGAAATAAACCCAGATGCCATTCTCCTTGAATGAGAAAACCCAAATCGGTAAATATTGGGAAAAGAGCTGTGATATTGATGTTTGTATGCATTGGTGCTTGAATGGAAGGTTGAGGGGTTTGGTAACGAAAACAAACCATCTTTTGAAATGGGTTTGAGGGTTCTGTGAAAATAGAGATTACAGAGACCTTGTACTATCGTTTTCGAACGCTTCGATGAACAATTGAGCGCCATTTTAGCTTGACATTAAAACCAGTGGCAGTGAAGAAGAAATGGGGCTGATGACTTTCCTCTTGCGATACGAAAGAGAAGGAAAGGGACTGTAAATCGATGGAAACCTGGCCCCTGCTTTTGTGATCTTAATATTCGGAGGATTTAAGAGCATTAGAAGACGTGGGCAAGTGAAGATCAAAGCGTGGTTTTTGTGGAAATGGAGATGAAGAGAAGGGACCTTATTCCTCTGTGAAAAACCGGAGAATAGCCGGTCTAATCGTCCGAACCGTTCACAAACGGGTTGGTTTATTGTAAGGACCTCTCTCTCTCTCTCTCTCTATCTATCTCTATTCAAAAAGCTCAAAACTCCTGTATATGTTCGTTCTTATAAGGATCTTCTAGTGCCGCCCATAATCTCCCTCTCTAAAGTCAAACGTCTATCTCTCTATGAGGTAGCTTTTCGTCTCTCTCTAAGTGCTGAGAATCAGTAGAAGCTATATTTTTCTCTCTCTAAGACTCAAAAATTCCATTAGGGTAAGTTTCCAAAAATCTGTAGAAGCTATATTTTTCTCTCTCTAATGTCAAACGACTCAAAAATTCCATTAGGTAAGTTTTCATGAGCCTCAAAGGTAAGAGTGCTGAAAATCATTATCGGCTGTGTTTTCCTCAATCTCTCTCTCTCTCTCTCTCTCTCTCTCTCTCTCTCTCTCTAAATTGCCCGAATTCTCTCTCTACACATCATTCCTAATATAATTACTCGCTCACACAATTCCTACTCGCATTACTCTCTGTACTAATCACATTCTCTCTCTTTCTCACTCATACCATTGCACACTCTCACTCATACCATTGCAATCTCTCTCTCTTTCTAACTCATACCATTGCAATCTCTCTCTCTAACTCATACCAATGCAATCTCTCTCTCTCTAACTCATACCATTGCAATCTCTCTCTCTCAGGCATACCATTGCACTCTTTCTCACACACAATTAGTCATACCATTGCACTCTCACACACACAATCACTCGTACCATTGCTCCCTCTCTCTCATACACAATTACTCATACCATTGCACTCTCTCACACACAATCACTCATACATTGCTCTTTCTCTCACATACACACAATTACTCATACCATTGCACTCTCTCTTTCTCACACAATTACTCAAACCATTGCTCCCTCTCATACACAATTACGCATACCATTGCACTCTCTCTCTTTCTCACACAATTACTCATACCATTGCACTCTCTATCTCACACACACACAATTACTGATACCATTGCACTCTCTCTCTCTCACACACACAATTACTGATACAATTGCACTCTCTCTCTCTTCTACGTGTTGGCAACTTGGCACCAAGCTTTAAATGGAGTAGCAATAAAAGATAAAAGAAGCACTATAACTATACAACAAACCCAATATTTCGTCAGCTTTCATCACAAATTTGTCTCAATTACAACTGTATTTCCACCCTAACATTTCCCAAAATTCCAGTTTCGACCTATCACCTCAATTCTCAAAAATTAGACGAAACCATGATCCAACTTTCTTCAAAACTAGACGTATCCTTGTGAGGGGTACCCATAGATATTTCCCTCAAAAACAAGGGCTATTTCCATAACTTTCACAAAAATTACCCCCTATTTTTCTAATATTTTTCTATTGATACATATTACATAAATTGCAGTTGGCGGCAACCACGTCCCCTTGTTTCCTCATTTTCCCTGTTCCTGCAAAATGCATATGTACCCAAAAACAAATGTTATAGTAAGATATAATTAAACGGAAAAGTTTATATAAGGTCGCAACCCTACATAATAATCACACGAAGTAAGAATGGCAATGGACCCCAACCAGGACCCGAGGGGTAGACCAGATTCGGGGTCTAGGTATGGGTCCAAAAATTGGTTCTGGCGGGTCAGGTCCATGTCCAAATCTTGGACCCAAACACTATTCAAGCCCGAGTCTAGTAATATTTTTTGAGTCCCAATATATGAAATATATTTAAATATAGTTAAATACATAGGTATTTTAGTTTTTGGGTCGGATCCCACACTATATTTTGGATCCAAGTCTGGTGAATTTGAGTCCGATCGGGTTTGGTGCCAACCCTAGGTTACAAGAAGTAATATAGCATAAAAGAGTGTTCTAAAGTTCATAAACCTTCCAATTAATCGTCCCAACCTCAAGATGCATGGATATAATAAAAAAAAGAAAAAAAAGATTTTTAAATCCTAAAAATAGTTTACCTTGTAAAAAATTACATGAACCTTCTATTTTAAGATTCTCAACTAATTATAAATCTATGTTTTTAGAATTTTAAATTTCATAATTAGAATTGAGTATGGATTTTCAAGCCATTGTAAAGTTTTAAAGTTTCTGACAATGGGCTAGATCTTCCACCAAAATTAGAGTTGCACCTTACTTGTATAGTATAAGGTGAGCACCTTGTACAAACCTCACCCGTAATTAGAACACTCTCATTTAAGTGATAAAATGCCAATTCTCTAAAGAGTGAGCCTTACATGTTGCAAATATAGAATTTACATGTGCTACAAGATATACAATCACATGATCTTGATCAAACAACTAGAATTGAGCCGATAGCTTTTACAATGTTCATGACTCATTCTCAACCATCCAATCCGATTCCATCCAATCTAAATCAGACTGCTATACGTCTCCAGACACAAAACTGATATATGGGTAGAGATAATCAAAATAATTCTTTCTTTTGAAAGAAGGAAAATATTCACGTTCACAATGGAAGAACAGAGTGCAGTGCACTATGGACAATGCACAGATGGGCCACCAAACGGGTTAAATACCACTTACTTGTGTGGGTTGAATACCGCAGCTTGCTGTATTATAGCACTTGATGATTTGCAATGTTACGTCTTAGGCTCAATTCCTAACAAGGGCCCTCTCCCCACTGACTTGCACGGCCCCAAAAAAAAAAAAAAAAAAAGAAGGAAAACTTCGTATACATTGAGAGTGGAATTTCACGTGCAGAAAAAGCTGCTGAATGGTGGCTAATAGTTGGAGAGAAACAAAAACCTATTTTTCCCTTATTCTATAATAGTAGAAAGAAGAATACTCCTCAGGGAGGGAAACTAAACTTAATATTCTCAATGTATATAACAAAAGGAGTAAAAAGAGGCTATGGTTCAGGCTTCCCGGACAAACTTCAAGGGTTCGAACACTTGACCTCCGTCATCCAAATCGATGTCTGCTACTAAGCCAAAATCATAAAGGGACATACTGATAGCAAGATTAACTAACACACCAAAAAATCACATGAGAGAAGTGGTAAGTCCCACTTTCCATCACCATCCATCATTGATGCAAAGAACATGCTTATGGGACACCAGAAAATCACATGAGAGAAGTGGTAAGTCCCACTTTCCATCACCATCCATCATTGATGCAAAGAACATGCTTATGGGAAAGGTGCTGGGGTCGTGGTGGTAGCACCCCACACCGTAGTCACCATGTTGTCGTTTTCATTCCCACTGACACCACCCCACTAACACCTCAAGACAAGCTAACTCCTAAACTATTTGAGAAAACGGGTAGGGGCTTGTCTTCCTACTGAATTACCCAGAAAAGAAAAAAACAACATGCCTATGACCATAACTTTTCTATGATTAATACGCTAAGTACATGCTGGAAAAATTCATTAACTTTTCTATGATAAATGCACCTAGAAAGCAAGGTCTAGTTCATACCAAAACTAGTTCAGTTTAGTTTTCTAAAAATTACAACTAAAACTGTTTCTTATTTTATTAAAAAAAAACAAAAAAGAGAGAGAAAGAAAACTCATACCATACTAATAATGCATACTGCTTGCATACTACGTGTAGGTCTCCACCGTCCATTCTTAACAATGAACAGCAGCATTCCTCTGTCATAGATCTACGAATAGTGTTATTAGAGGGTTTTTCAACATTAAAACAACATTTCTGATAGATTTTTGAGGTGCATCTGTGATTCTACATTTTAAGGTTGCAACCTTATATAAACTTTTCCCATTAAATAATAATGTATATATTTAAGGATTCTATACAATGAGACCATTTACCTTTGATACAAACATTTGATGTGAAATTTGATAGCTTGGATGTGTCACAAAGTTTAAGAAAATTTCTTTTGAAGTTTGAGCTTGGTCAAGGGAATAATTGCATCCATCCAATTTCACATCCAATGATCGAGATTAATGTGACCACCTTGTATCAAAAGTAAATGGTCTCATTTTGTACTTTCCCATATATTTAAAATAATATTTAAAAATATTTAAATATATACTTTTTTATTTTTGGGTAGGGTAGGGTCTGGGTTTGGTCGGATCTGGGTCCCATAATTTTTTTTCTGATCCAGGTCCGGCCGGAACCCGACCCGACGTATTGCCACCCCTACTACTCATCCCCACTAAAGTCCAAACCACCAAAAACTTGGAGCAACCACACAAAACCCACCAAGAATGTTTCAGAGACTCTCTCTTACTTTGGCTTCAAGCTCAAGGCTACCAAAAAAAACCCCTAAAACATAAGCCATGAAGCCAAAATCTAAAAACTTCAAAATCCACCATTTCCTACTTCCAGTAAAAAGAGAACAGTTGAAAAAATAAAAACCATTTACACAAAAATGAAGTTAAAACACTAACCTCTTATGAGACCGACTGCCTCCGCCTCCTCCCGCTCTTCCCATCCTGCCCCTGTCCTGCCCTCTTCCCCTTCCTCCCACTTCTAGTAGCCGGGCCGAATATGGTCATGCGACCGAACCCTTTAGAGATAGAACCAAGAAAGGTACGGGCATTGGCCGACCTCTTATCCATCCCTCTCTTCATGTTAGCTTGCTCTTTCTCCAAATCATTAAGTCTCATTCTCATTCTTGAAATCTCGAGCCTCAACTCGCGATTCTCTCTCCTCAATGAGGCATAGTTATCTCTAGGGGACATGGTAGCACTAGGCACCCCACTACTTATCCTTTGAGAGAATAAATTCTCGGAGAAGTTACCTGCGAGGGCATTCTTGATGCGAAGCTGCTCCAAGTAGAGGACCTGCATGAGAGTGAAGAGTGAGAAGCCATTTACTTTCTCTCACTGTATGTCACACCATGTACACTTCTTTTTTGTATGTGGTGTGCAGAAGTGTATGTGGTGTGCTAAAGAATTAAGAACAAGGACACATCCAAGGAATATAAAGAAGTTGTACAGAAAGAAACATTTCTCTTTGTTTTTTGTTGGGTGATGAGAATGCATTTATATGTGTGAGCAAGCGCAGTCGTACAATAAAGGACAGGAACTTCATTTTGAAGATAAAGGAATTGGAGTGTAAGAAACTCATTGTCTTTTTATGGGTAACTATCATGCTCATGTATCACACACACACACACACACACAGTACACATAAGTGCGTCTGAGACAGAGAAGAAGAGGGGTGGGTGGGGGGGCCACCTTGTTTTGCATTGAGGGAGCTCTTGGGTTCAGAACTCTCTCTGCAAACCAAGTTGACCTATCATACACACACATACACACACACAGAGCTGGGGGCGACCTGAAGAGCCATGTGGACAGGGAGGCGATCATTCTGGGCAGCATGGTTGGAGGCATCAGGGGTGAGCTTCTGGCAGTCTACCAGCTTACAGAGCCTCCGGCACTCAGCCTCAGTAAGCCCTGGATGAGCCTGAACCATTCACATGTGCAAAAGCTCAGCAAGGGAGGCAAGTCACAATACGAAAATTTTGCATTTTTTTTTAAACTGTTTTGAAAGGTTTCTAAGGCCAAATTTCAGAAATGCAGAGTGATTTTTTGCAGAAGCTAATACTAGTTAAATACCAAAAAACAAAATGAAATAATAAATAAGATGTTTTGGATCAGAATGTCAGCCCATAAATATATGATTATAAAAGGACGTGTACATGGTGGTCATGTGGGACCAAATTTTGCATTTGGCCCCGTGGGAAGAACACCTAGTTAGGGAAATTTTTATGACCTTAAATTTTTCAACAACTATTTGATTCACCTTGAGATCAACTTCCAAAGAAACAAAGATGAAAAAGACTTTGAGCCCTTAAGACTCTACATGTGTTCATCCATCAAATGGATGTTCAGAGTTACTTTTGGAAGGGGAACCAATTTTGAGCATTTTCTGAGCTCCAAGTATATATTTTTCTTCGGGCAGCAGGAGCAAATGTATGATTCGGTCCTGCCGGTCCACCTATATCTTTCCATTATAAAAAATGAAAACTAATAGATACCTTCAGGTATATATCCACGGCTCTGTATAGTCCATCATCAACAACATGAGCATAGTCAGGCAAAAGCTCAATAATGGCCATGAATTTTTGGAGTTTCAGATATGGATCTGGAGCAATTTCAGCAAGAAACCCATCTATGAGTTTCCCGACCTTCAAAACTGAACCATGGCTTGGTGATCCAAACCCTTCCGATTCATAACCAAACTGCGATTCTTCTGATTCTTCCTCTTCAATTCTTTGGAAAAAGTTAACCAATATTCGATGTACAGTATCAATGTCGAAGAGTGAGTCTCCAGCCTGCAATGATGGGATTAGCAGGTCATCAAGAGTCACCATCTCTAAATGAAACCCAATTCTCCTTTCGAGCTCGAGCCTGCAGGCAGTAGAAGAGTCTAACATGATCGCCATTCTGAGCATCCCAAAGAGAAAACTCATTGGAATTGTTGCACTTTTCTCAGTTGGGAGAAGACCCACTAGTGTTTCCAATATTAGTCTCTGGTCATTCTCCATAGCCAAACCAGTGCCTGATTTCAACCGTGCTGGATCCCAAACCTGTTGTTTGTCTCTCTTATTAATAAAGCATTACATGAAAGAAATCAGGGTATGTAAAAGTGCCACTGATCTGAAAATTCAATACAGTACTGTGACCTTGTTTTGAAATAGTAAAGAAATGCTACTGGATTTCGAATGCAATGTCAAGATGATTGAAAATTGTTCTATTTCAAGACGATTGAAAATATCTCCCTCCCTCCGTTCCCCCCACCCAAAAAAACCTGCCCATCCCATCCCCTTCCCCCAAAACCACTTAGAATGTGGAGAGGGGAACAAATGTGAAAATTTGAAATGGCAAGGTTCGTTATGTAGAGAAATATTATGGCCTGCGATAGTATTATGAGGATTTGAAATCTAACAGCATATCTTATTAATCCTTAGAAACCAGTGGCATTTTTTGTAAGCTAATTGATGGAGGATAGTCCATTGAAACATCACCATCCAATTACAAGGTGTATATGGCAATGAAGAGAAAATGGCTCAAACTAGAACAGGGCATGAACCCAATAGTGGTTCCCACACTTTCTCCATAACCATCCGTCGTATAACTGGATGGTGAACACAAAATGGAATATGAACTTCAAATAGATCTTTATATTATTGTTTACTTAACCATGATAACATGAAATGAACAATGGAAAAGAAAAGAGAAGGCACCTTTTGTTTTCCGGGCCCCTTCAGCCAGCTCTGTGCATAGTGCGTAAGAGAAGAAACAATACTATCTGGCCTCACCCCTGTTTTTCTCATGGCAACAATCACTCTCTGGTAAAGATCAATCCTTATAACTGAGAGGTCCTCAATCCACCACTCTTGGCAACCAAGGTTCAGTTTACCCGAATCACTGTTACAATCCAAGCGAGATAACCCAGATACCAACTGCTCCTTAGAAGCATTTACTGCAATGGCATCAATGCACCTACAGGGTATTTTCACCTCTTCAGTCTCAGGAAGCAGGACTTCACAAGAATGCAAGACCTCAACTGATTTCTCCAGGCTTTGCATTACTATCTCGGTCAAGTAGGTCTCAGTTCGAGGAATTAGGTTTTCTTCAGAATAGTCTTCGGTCATTTCAAGGTATTCAGCAGCACACCTAATATGAGCCACATTTGTTGGAGTGATCTCAAAATTCGTTCCATAGCAAAATTTGACAGCAAGCTCGAACGTGTGGGAACCTCCTGGAAAATTTGGAAGTTCCAGTTTGGATATCTCAGAGTCTTTGACCTCAGACAAAATTTTGCGGATTCGACCACTCTGGGAAACCAGAGGAAACTATAGGGCCCGGAGAGACCATGAATCAGATAAAATCAAAAAACCCAGATATACATTGGACATGATTTAGTTTAACTCCACCAAAGATTGCATCTCTCATCATAGAATCCAAAGTTTGGGTTTGTTCTTAGAGTAATCGGATAACGTAAAATAGAAGACAGTACATCCAGAAGTTGGCATTCATAACCAAGAACAAGAACAAACTCATTGAAATTTAGAGAGTCATTTTCTATATTTCTAGAAAAATAAGCATGCTTTCTGAGTTCAGGTAAAACTTATCTAAGTTTCAAATTTTGGCCCTATACCCAACAAGATTGGCAGGGAATATTTCCAGAAACTGAGGGCACAAGATTTTCCTTTAAATGATAAACATACTGCTAAGAAAGAGCATAGGAAGATATATAAATATATGTGTGTGTTTGTGTATACATGTGTGTGTGGGGAGAAACAGGGAGAAGGAAAGAGAGAGAGAGAGAGAGAGAGAGAGAGATCCTGTTACACATGCACTATTTGACAAAAGAATTCAGCTCTTCCACAAGCTACTTACCAAACATTATATGTCTAGATAAAAACAGGAAGTAGCCCTTAAGACCAATAGCCATTTTGAGATAACACAAATTAAAGCCCAAGATGCATGAAAAACTAGGGGCCCAATATGACCTCCCCACCTCTCTTCTTTCTTCTTTGATAGGCATCTCTCGTTTCCATGGTTCATACTCCTCTAAGAACCGAACTATTTTCCCACATGGAAAGATGGCATCCCATTTTTTCTTTCATATATGGTATACTGTAATCGGTTCCATCATATTACTTAAAAGTAAAGAAAAACAAAAACCATGTAGAGATTAGTTTCTTGGACATCATCCATGTGGGGAGTTTTAGAAGTAAGGGTACATAAATTTATGAGACGGAGACTCTAGGGGGATAGGCAATGAGGCTTCCAAAGAGGGACTTTACGATGGCTGTAGTGGAGAATAATTGACAAACCTGTTTCTCTTGGAGCACAGGAATTAGCCAGGAATAAGTTTCAAAGATTGATGAAGATGTTTTCTTGGCCTATCTGTGCAGCAGATTACATAGAGGCAGATGCCAAAGCTGTCCTAGCAACATCTTTCCTTTTTCAGCCCAGACAAGTGTGAAGTCACTCCATAATCCAAAATTCAAACACAGTTATTATGCATTTGTCTAATGCAAAAATTAAACACATATAACGCATCCAGTCAAATCAACCAATCAAAGCTTTCTCAAACGAAATGGGTTATCAGGGTTAACCCTCATGTCACTTTCAATGCATGTATACCATCAAACCTTTAAGTAAAGAGGAACGGTTGACTCTTGTGCTTAATTATTCCATCCCATCCACACGAAACACATCATAGAAAAGATTAAATCCTTGTATTCATCAAAAGAAATACCATTGACTATTTCCAAGTGAAAGTATTAGCTCCTCTGTATGCAAATCATTATGCCATAAGTTCAAATATCTAACCAATGATCATTTTTTGGAGGTGCAAGAGGAAGCCAACAGGGCAATATACTCCTCAAGTTTGGTTTTTCCCATTTACTTGAATGATCTTCCCACTGTTATATTTAATCACACGATTATATATGGAAAATCAATGTACAAGTCCGCAATAAAAGGATAAAATGAAAATAAATGGAATTTTTAACCATAAATTTAACTACTATACAGAAACGCGGCATTCAAAATGGAAGTGTTTAGACAACAAGTTCAGCTCACCTTATGCAATACAAAGGGTTGCCCATCAACATCAATTATTATGTCTCCCGCGACATCGGAAAATATCCTGAATCCGGACCAAAATATGGTGAGTCAAACACATTCATATCAATAATCAGATAGGTGCAAAAGAAAGAAGGTGTTCAGCATGAACATATATGAATGCATACATGGAATCGACGCCCTTAAAAAGGAAAACCATTCTTTTTCTGCATTCAATGAATGATATTCATACAAAAGCAATGAAAAAAAAATTCCAAGTGCTCACATATATGCAAACACATATACACAAAAGCATGGGCACATATGGTATGGCAAAGTATATTGCAAAGTGGAATATGGTTTCCTCGTAATCTATTAGGCCATTACCACCATAAGAGAATATGGAAGGTGATGGAGAGAAAGTGGACCCAACACACACAGACGCATGCCTGCAACCCCACACATGCATGCGCACATTGACACACAGTAAATGATAGGCATGTTAAGGTTTATGAGTAAATACATATTAAAGCTCATCCGAATTGCTCGTCGGTGTCGCCTGATAGTAAGCCTCATCAATCTATGTATATAACTTAACATATCTTTCAAAAGTCTCAAACACATTGATCTCTTTCCCTTCTCAATATTCTTTTGAAAAGGCCCACGAAACAAATTGATTCAAAAACAATAAAACTATCTTCAAATTTTGCCTCCTCTCCTTCCCATTCTTATTTGTCAACAAAACTCAGTTGATCTCTGTAAGACCTCAATCCTATCCAAAGTACCAGACCAAAGTATAATAATAACAAAATCGATCAAGTGCATCTCCACGAATTGTGCAGATGGCCTCTGTAATCTTCAATCCAAACACTCACTTCTTAGAAATCGAGTTTGAGCTCGATTCATAAGTTGATGATGATTGCAACACTACAACAATGCGACCCAAGTTCGATTTGTACCTTTTAACTACCCAAAAAAGGAACCATTATGGTTGTAAAAAATTATTAAAAATACTTTTTGTAAGTGAAATCCAATGGGCTCTAAAACATGCGTAATGATCCATTGTTCCATTACAGAGTTATGACAAATTTCACAAAATTCAATTTCTAAGATTGTGATAAATTCATGTTCTATTTTGTGAAACACTCTGAATTTCCTAGTTGTTCCATATAAGACACATATCATTTGTTCTCTTCTTTTAATTATTATTATACAAATTTTCATGCAAATCTCCTCTCTCTCTCTCCCTCTCCCTCTCCCTATCACAAACAAAAAACCAAAGCAAAAAGTATAGTCACAGTAAACAAAAAGCCAAAAAAAAAAAAAGATTCAAACAAAACCACTTCTTCTTCCGAACTAATAATGTGAGATTCCAACTATCTCAAACCGGTAAGAAACCCAGATACAGCATCGCATGAATAACACATCAACAGTCACATGAAAATCAATCAATGACCATAAAAATGGAATGGTGAGCTTATATAAAAACTTAAAAATTCAAATAAAAATGGAAAATAATGAAAAACGAAAATTTTGCAAAAAGAAGAATATGGGTTTCAATAGAATCAAATAATGACCAAATACATGGAGTAGTAAGCTTCTAAACACCTGAAAGTATAAATAAAAATAAAAAACATTTGAAAAAAAAATGAAGAATTTTGAAAAAAAAATAAGAAGATGGGTTTTCTCGCTTGCCTTTTGCTTGTTGAAATCGCAAAGGAAGGTGGCAAAGAACGTCTCAGAGACGCGAGAGCGCTTTCAGACACCATTTTTTCTCCTTTTTTTTTTTCTTTTTTTTTTTCCTCAGTTTTTTTCACTTCTTTGAAATAAGGAGGCAGTGGGAGTGGGAAAAGAACAGTGAGCTCCAAAAATATAATGGGTATTAAATTACTAAAATGCCCCTAAGTATTTTAGAACTTACAATATTGCTCTCCCCAAATATTGGAAGAGGTCCACATGAACACTCTGCATAAATTTTTAAATTACGAGATTGCCCTTTTCACCTTGGAAATGGATAGGGATGGCAACGATTGGGTCCGGGTCCACCGAGACCCGAAAATATGATATGGGACTCTGACCCGCATTCAAGGGATCAAGAGTCAGACGCAAAAATATATTATGAGATACGAATCCGACCCAAAAATTAAAGGGTGCGGTTTGTATAGAGCCTAGGCTCTAAACAATCAAATTAGAGCCTACCTTATAATGGTATCGAGAAATGTGGTTTTATTATTGAAAATCTTTGTGATAGCTTTAAAATATATTTTCATATTTATTTATAAAATTTAAAGCTTCAAAAATAGTGTAGAGAGACTTTCAAATCTTTAAAATTGACAGTCCAAAAATTGCATTACAAAATACACTATTTCCAAAACTTGAAATTCATTTTTTTATCATGTCCATGCATCATGATGTCGAGATGATCAATTTGAAGATATTTAAGCATCAAAACAACCTCTTCTAGTGAAATTTTTGAAGTAGGCTCAAAATTGATTGTTTAGAGCCTCGGCTCCATATAAACTTTTCCCAAAATTAAAATATCTATGTAGTTAACTATATTTGAATATATTTCATATATTGGGACCCGAAAAATATAAATGGACCCAAACCTAGACCCGAATAGTGTTCAGGTCCAATATTTGGATCCAGACCCGATCCAATTTTTTGATTTATGCACGGATCCATATTGGGTCTACACCTCAAGTCCCGAATTGGGGCCGGTTCCATTGCCACCCCTAGTCAAATGGAACATGGTGTTCTTATTTGAGCACTTTTGTTTTCTTGGCAACCCAAAAGCCGTAAAATGTGAAATTGCCTATAAATTATTTTATGCAATAATTCTAAGAAAATATTTCTCTAACTCTAAGCATTAGTCAAGTACACACCAAACAGTTTAAGATAATTACGATCATCTTGTACCACAAGCAAAAAATATTATTATATTTTTCATTTCTTTTATATATTTTAGGGATGTTACGATGTCTGCAAAGTCTTTCTTAGAAGGGTCCAGTTATTTTGTATAAGAGGATGCAAGTTTCAGACTATGTCCCTTGACAGATCGACTGTCTATATAAAATGAATAGTGGATATAAGGTTTGAAAATGGAGATTCCATACGATATCTCAAAAACTTCACGTGTCAAACGCACCATAAAGGATCAAACACTTTGCCTTCACATAACAGACATGTTTTTTTGTAAAACTAAGAAATGAATTTTATAGGAGGGAGGGTGGGTTAAAATCATGAATTGTATTGATCTACCTACTATTTCTCAAGTGGAAATATAGAGTGAGTTGTTGAAGGGAAGGCAAGCCACCGTTGCTCTCTTGCTCCCCATCACCTTCCTCTCCCTCTTTTCAATTTGTTGGTAGCTAATGACCAAATAAATAGAAGTTTGGTAGAGATAAACTCAATAGAAAAGACAAAAAACAGAACAAAATAATGGTGTTGATGTCCCAAGCTGCACATTTTTATAATACCTACACTTTATATGTGCCTAAAAAATAAGTGTTTTTTTTTTTGGGTGAGTCAATAGGGAGACGGTCGATCTGTAATTGAGCGTAGGATGTAGCGTTGCAAATCGTCAAGTGCTAACCAATTAAACCCCGGCTCTTTTCCTAAAAAATAAGTGTGCTAAGAGATTGAACATGAAGTTTTTAGCAGTCATATCTAAATGTTTAGAGACTCAAATCCAAATTTTGTTTTTTGAGAATACTCATGTAGTGATTTTAGATTCCATCCCGTTAATTTGGACGGTAAGTATGGTGGTTATAGAGAATATCCCAATATTTCTTACGGGAAAAATCCTGCTCACCAGTTATTTTGCTTGAGGGGGTAAGTAGATCTTGTGCTCTCATGGGTGCATGTTGTACATCAAAAGTATTTTATTTTATTTTATTTTTAATGGTAAGGGATATTTTATGGAAAATTGTTTCATGTTGTGGACCCAATATGCAGTCTTGAAGTATAAAGTATCCATCTTAAAGATGGATGCAAATAGGTGATCCATCTAAAAATAATTGAAGCTAACTGTCCAAATATTTTTTTAGTATAATTATTATTTATAATTTTCAAATTTATTTATTTATTCGTATTCATGATATCCATATTAGAGATTACATGTCCTTAAAAATTAAGTCTAAAAAACTATCTCATAAATATATTTTTAAGAGGTGACTAGTTTTTACGTAGACTCATATAAACCGTGTCCATATTTTATTGATGCAATAGTAGTAGATTGGTAGTTAGGCATAACAACCTTGTATCTATATCCATTGGGTCCCAAATCCAACATTACCAACCACAAGAGAAATGTGAGGTTTGTATAAGGTGTCGACCTTAAACTGTTGAAGTAAGGTATGCCTAAAAAATATGTCGAAAATACAGTTTTGGTGCCACAAAGCCTTGCAATGACACAAAAATCTATTGTTGCCCCCAATTATAAAATTTAGAGTTCCAAAAACCGTGACAATCAAGCAAATCTATAATAAACACATGAAAATGGACTACCCAAATAATTTGTTCGAATAACTCTTTTTAAGACTAGAAACTCCCTTTTATTCATGTATCTGAATCTCGAGGTCGAGATGATTGATTTGAGAATTTCCCACTATAAGAACAAACTTCTCTAGTGGGGTTTTTAAATGTACCTTACTCGCACAGTATAAGGTTGATAGCTTATATAAATTCTTCCCAAAAAAAAGAAGAGAATAATAAGAAGCAACCAAACACTATTTTAACTATCATTCATGAGGTAACAAGTTAAGAGTCCACAATACCTCTCCAAAATATCGTCTGCATGAAAATATCGGCCCTCAAAATCCCGATAAAATAGATTTAAGGGGTATGTTGTTATTTTGGTGAGTTTAACGGCTATTAATGGTCGACAGATTAAGGGTAATTAGGTAATTTTCATGTTGATGGGAAAGCTGAATGCTCTATGATGGTGATAGACGTGACTCGGAGCTCAAGAAAGAGCAATGATTAAAAAAGTAGCTTATTTTGCGCTTTTCTACCAATCAAAAAATCATTATTCTCTCGAAAATTACAAAAAGAAAGACTTGTTCTTCTTTCAAAGAAGTACACAAAATTAGATTTCTCCAAAAAGCACTTTGTTGCTTTTACTTTTGGTATTTATGGAGTTTGATCTAAAATATCAGTGAGTAATTAACTTGCATGTCCTTCAAAGCATCATCCTTTTTTAATTTTTTCATTTTTTTTTAAGGTAAATGCCAAGAATAGAGTCAATAATTTTTTTTTTAAAAAAAAATAGTTTCATAGGGCTGCAGCTCTTTTAAAATAGGAGAAAAATTATATAAGGTTTAAACTTTAAAATGTATAATTAAGGATGCACCTCCAAAATCCATAAAAAAAAAAAAAAAAGCTTGTTTTAACGTTGAAACCCTCTAATTGATCATCACAACATTGGGATCATATATATAAAAAAAAAAAAATTGACTTATAAAAATAATGCATCTTGTAACACATTATCTATAGTCCGTTCATTTTCAATATTTTCATATGTTTATAGATCTACTTGATTTTAACCATTTTTTGAGTTTAAAACTTTACAATTAGTTATGAAAATTGGTTTTGAGATAATCCTATAAATGTTTTACTACCAAAAGTACATATAAT